CCTGCCCCATACACCCGCTCTTCCTTATTTTAGTTAATGGCAGCTCTACCTTTCTAGTTGCTCAGGCCAGAAACCTAGTGCTGTTTGTCTTTCTTTCAAACTTATGGCCATTCTTTTTTCCTCTCCTTTCTCCCTTCTTTCCCTCTCTTGCCTCCCTCCCCTCTTCCACATTTAGCAATTCCTGTCCACTTCTACCTTCAGAATATACTAAAACTCACTAATCCCTTGTTTTACCCTGCCTCTACTATCCTAGTCTGAACTGACTCCATGATTTGCCTTGATTTTTGGAATAGGTTCTTACTGGTCTGCCTGCTTTCACACTTGCCCTCCTACAGTCTATTCCACACAGCAGCAGAGTTATCCTTTTGAACTGTACATTAGAACACTTAGAACATGCCACTCCTGCTCCAAACCCTCTGGTGGCTCCCCATTACATCCAAGTAAAAGACAAAGTTCTCTCATTTCGTCACCTGCTACCCTCTACCTCCCTCCACTTGTTCTCCGTTTTAGTCCCTAGACATACCAGGTGTGTTTATCAGAGCGTTAAAAGAAGAGCATGTCTGAGATGCTTTTGCTCTCTCTCCCTGAAATACTTTCTTCTAGGCATCCACATAGTTCGCTCAAAAGCCATCTCTCTCAAGCCTTCCCCAGCCCCTGGCCCCACACTCCCTAGCCCACTTTTCTAAGCTATTTTTCTCCAGAGCGCTTACTACCATATATTTTCATAATTCAGATACGTATTTTTATCTAGACTCAGGACTTGAAATATGTATCATCAACATACAATACGTTACATTTTAACAAATATTTTGCTTGTTTGTTTGTCTTTGAGGTCCATCTCTTTCCCCTCCCCACCAGAATACAAGCCATCTGACCAGGGGTTTGTGTTTGTTGTTCACGGCTTTTGTTGAGTGCCCAGAGCAGTGCCTGGCACATAGTAGGAGCTCAGTAAACATTTGTGTCACTCCTGCCTTGCGTTTCACTTGCAGTTTCTCCAGGTCTCATTTGTGGCGTTTCTGCTCTGCCTCACAGCCTTTATTTGTCTGTATATTTTGTTTCCCAGAGGTGGTTGAAGCCACATCTGCTGTGATCACCTCCCTAACTCCCATCTTTAAATCAGTGACCTCCATATTTCTGACCATAGTTTTTTTGTATACTAAAATCACTTTTCACTGTGTACACTCCATATATGTATTTACATACATATACATGCTATTATTAGTGTATGTGTTAGAACATGTAAAAATACCACTCAGAGGAAGATGGATATAATAAATATTTTTATAATAGAAATTCCTGGTGCTTTCTACACCTCAGTGGATAATCTTAGAAACCCAGTTTGGAATCCACTGCTGTATGTTAAAGATTTCTGCCCGTTTTAAGTTCTTCATTTTTATGGGCTCTCCAGAAGGAGAGACTAAATCCATTTGCTTAGTATATCATGTTGAACTGGAAGCACTGTGAAAGTCTTAGTAAAGAGTTTTTATATTCAGAGAAAACAAGGAAAATCCCCCCATCGTTCTGCCCACTGTTGTCCTCAGAGGTAAGCAGTGCACTTCAAACCTGTTCGGTGTGTATCTGGCGGCGCCTTGGCATTTTTTCATATATATGTACATGTGCACCTGTCTGTATAAAGATTATACTATACGTATGGTAATATGCATGCACATATATGTACATGTAAGATAGGAATTACACCACATGGATTTCTCTGTGATACGTTTTATTCCACTTAGTGTTACATGGAGAGAAGTATAACAAATAGTGATTAAGAATTCATAGATGCAGGGAGCCCAACTGCTTGGGTGTTCATCCAGACTCTGCTACTTACTAGCTGACATGAATGTTCTATGCTTTAGTTAAAATACGGAAACTCCCTCTGATGCTGGATATTTACATTGGAATCTTTGCTTATTCTGCACTCTAAAGTTGGGCTGGGCACCATGGGTGATAACAGGAAGCGTCACATGGGCTCTTTTTAGGCCCTTGGTCTGCTTTTCTCATTGAAGTTGTTTGCTATCCTCTAGTGAACCAGTTGGTTTGCCACTGTGGCTGAGCTGTGCTGCCTTCCTAATGGTTACTGTAGTTGTTATCCATCAGCTAGTGCTCTTAAAAAATTTTGTATGAATCCAAAGCTTTGTCAATTTTGAAAATTATTTTTATCCAAAGATTTTTCAAGAATTAGATTAATTTACAGATACAGTGGAGAAGTGAATAAAGATTCTTATATAAATTTAAGCACTTTTTCTTTTGTTATTGTGAGCAATATCTATTTAATTCGGACACCAAAAGCTACAATTCTTTGTAAGAATTATTCTTTTGGAGAAGCTGTGGGGAATCGTGTCTGCCGTCTTGCATCTTCTTTTGTACAACTTATTTGTTACTTGGTGAGTAAATCAGTAAAAATGACCTTTCTCAAACTAAAACCATGGAAAGACATTCTGTGTTCATGGATTGGAAGATTTTAATATTTTTAAGTTGGTGGTACTCCCAAACTGACCTATGAATTTAATTCAGTCTGTTAAAATTCCTGCTGGCTTTTTTGCAGAAATTGACAAATTGTTCCTAAAATTCATATGGAAATGAAGACCTAGAATAGCCAAAACTATTGAATATAAAGTTGGAGGACTTACATTGCCCAATTTCAAAACTGACTACACAGCTACAGTAATCAAGACTGGTTCTTGACTTGCATAAGGGTATAATATAGACTAGTGGAATCAAATTGAGAATCCAGAAATGAACCAGTACATTTAGGATCAGTGGATTTTCAACAGGTATGCCAAGACAATTCAGTGGGGAAAGAACAGTCTTCAACAAATTGTGCTGTACAACCAGATATCCACATGCAAAAGAATGAAGTTGGACTCTTGCCTTACACCACCATATATAAATATTAACTCAAAATGGATCAGAGACCTAAATGTAAGAGCTAAAATTACAGAATTCTTAGGAGAAAAAATAGGTATAAATCTAAATGAGCTTGGTTTAGACAGCCAGTGGTTTCTTAGACACCAAAAGCATAAGCAAACCAACAGTAGATACGTTGGACTTTATCAAAGTTTAAAATTTTTGTATTTCAAAGGATACTATCAAGAAAATGAAAAGACAACCCACAGATTGGGAGAAGAATCACCTATCTAATGACAGTCTAGTATCAAACCAAGACCAAGTCCTCATTTCTCCCATCTTTAAAATTCTCATCATATCATTGCAGTTGAATTCCGTTATTACCATGTATATTTTTAAAGAGATTTGTCTGTGATCATGGGTCCAGTTACCCTCCCTGCTCTCGCCCTACAAAAGAAACGCCAGATATTGTCCTATGCCACTATTAAGGGTAAATGAAACTGAAGATACTAGATAAAACAGTTTAATCTGAAGCTTAAAATTTATGGTTTAATAGATGAAGAGACAAAGTTTACTAAATTCACATCCTATTCTGGTATAAAGTACTTAATGTTGTTACATTGCTTCATTTAGGCTTCAGATCTTCAGTACTCCTTGTGAGGTAAATAGAAAATTCTTTTGTGTCATGAATTTTCAGCCAATCAGAAGCCAGAATTCTTTTGTATGTAATAATAGGATTTATTGTTCAGAGAGGAGCTATAAGTGGACTTTACTTTTGAGTTTTGACTCCAGAAATGTACAGCCCTGTCTTTTTAATTTCAGGTTTTTAAATGTTATTCTTAATACTTCTTGAAATAACGGCCTTAATCAGTACTTTTACTTTTGATGGAACAATTTAATGGGCTGTGAAAGAAAAATTACAAAATATTAAGAGGGAGATAGAATTTTATGAAAATGTCTTCAAGGTTTCCATCACCATCTCTACCAGTTTTCTTCTCACCTGGGCCAGTTGACTTAGGTTCTGTAACAAGTTCATCTTGTTCACTGAGTGAGCTGGACAATATTTCCCATCTTTTAAGGAAAATATCAGCTGATGTCAATGAAATTAAAGGAATGAAAGCAACAGTTTTGACAGCGGAAGCAAATCTTTTTGACCTAAATGTTAGAATGTCACAGAATGAAGCAAAAATTTGTTCTTTGGAGGTTAAAATGAATGAATATTCAGCATCAACATCTGTATGCAACAGAGAGTTTGATGGTCTTCAAGAGGAAGTAGATTTTGAATCACAGGCAAGGACTGCGGGTGTAAAAATTGGTTTCCTTAGAAACATGGAGAAAGGTAAATTAATAATATGTGAGATATCTTCTAGATACCCATGGGACTGTATCTTTTCATGTAACTTGACTAGTTCTCATACAAAGGCAGCAAGTCACAAAGAACTTGAATTTTTCATGGACTTTTAATGACAAAATAGGACTCTACGTGATTTAACTCAAAGCGCTTACTGTCAAATTGAGATAGAGAAAATCAGTTTTGTGTCAGCTTTGTTTTCTGCATTGTAACCATGAGGAAATTGTGAACCTGTTTTAGAGATAATAAGTACTCTAGCTGAGTGCTTTTTTCATGCTTTGGCAAGACCTGGACTGCAGCATTTAGTGTCGTACTTGTTCAGTGTTCTCTTTGTATCCATCCAATCTCATAGTCTTTCGAGAACTTGGACCAGATAACTCGGGAGTGTTTCATTTTGCAATTGCAGGGGTGAGAGCCCAGGTGATAGGGGGGATGCTTTTTATGTTGATCCTGCAGTTGGCTGTTGCTTGTCTCACGCGGTGCAAACTTTGGGTCCATGTAGCACCACCTCCAGGCTTTTACCCTTTATCTCCAGGCTTTACCTCCAGTCCAGGAAAATTGGCCTCCAGGGGGACAACCCGAGTGTTCTGCATTGCTGTTTTTGGTTTAACCCTGAGTACTGTTCTTTTCATCTTACAGACTTTTGGTCTATAAACATTGTTAAATTGCATTGTTGCAGCTTTATTTTTAAGACTTCTAATTAAGAACTCAGAAAGGCTATTTGGGGCTTACTTTCTGGAAAGCACATATGCTAGTATTGTTTTTCACGCTTAGTAAAGTTTTAAAATTTTTATTCTAGGAACTCAACAGAGGCAGCTGTTATCCCGACTGCAGATTGATCCAGTCATGGCAGAAACTCTACAGCTCAGTCAAGGTTGGTAATCTTAAATTTTCGTTGTAATCTGTCATTTTTCAGTTGCTATTTACATTCCTTACACCTCATTTAATGTGTCTCTTAGATCCTGCCCTAAGATGTTGTATTTAGATCTGTGAAATTATTTTTGGGCCAGGAGATAAGATCTGCATTTTCATCATTTTATATGGTGTTTTTATTTCTTGCCTTGTCCAGAAACTTGCTTCCTTTGTTGCCATTTCATCTGGTCCCTGCAGCCTGTTGGCTACCACTCCCTGCTCCTGGAAGGACCTGAGTCCCTCCCCTCCTCTCCGCTCCTCTCCACCCATCTTTTGCCATTGCCCTGAGCTGCTGTAGTTCCTCTGGCCTATTTCACCTTGTCCTCACTTTTACTTCACTTTAAAATCGATCGTCAGGCATGCACCTAGAACTTAGTGTTCTTAGAGCCACTGGAACTTAATTGTTTGCCTGCTCCCCCACCCCCAGCACACAGACGCACATACCATGGCTGCTTCAGGACCGGGGCTAGTGCCATATTTTTCTGTTTTCAGTGTCCAGCCCCTGCCAGATGTGTGTGCAACCCCTAATAAATATCTGCTGAACAGGTGAAGGGAGCCATTGCATAACGACGATCTTAAATTCAGAAATTTTCTTTTAACCTGCTTCCTTCTGTTTCCCCTAAACCTTCCCGTTGGTGGAAGCTCTGGTCGGCTAACCCCTCCTTGTCATCTCCTAACTGAGTTTCCTTCCCCTCAGTCAGGACTCCACAGTCCACAGCTGTATCTCCCTGACCCTCCACGGCCTTCAGTCTCAGAAAGATGTGCTCGTCCCCCTGAGGGGTCCCTCCCACCCCGCTGCCAGATGATGACCGCTGTGCTTTTGCCACGCTCATGTAGCTTTAGTCTTTGCCTCCCTCTGGCTTCTCTCTTCTACCTATAAAAGTGTCAGACATTCTCCATTCTTGATTTCGCCCTCTCGTCTCCCAACATCTCATCCTGCTTTCTACGTAAGGGTATTTTCTTTCACAATGTTTGACAGCTAGACTGTGTATGTTGTATCCGTTTCTTCAGCTCTTGCACATACTTTTTGTTTTCTTTGGTTTTTATTTTTATCCATTGTGCACATACAGCTTGAAGCATCAAGTGGTCCTCCAAGGCTTATGAATGACTACCTCCTGTGCTTACCTTCTGTCATGTCCTTTTGTTCCTGAGAGCCCCTTTATTTGTGTATATTGCACCCCCCCCCTTTTTTTAAACATACTGGTTTTGTTTCATGTATGCACTACTTTTTATTTCTCTGAGGATATTAAAGGTAGTTTTAGATATTTTTCCCCCCTCATTCCAAATGACCAAGGGGTCATTTCTCTAAGTCATTTGTTTTGATCACTATCTTTCATGACAGAGGTTTTCCTCAGATGTCTGGGGATCCTTGGTTGTCTTATATTTAAGAGTGGGGCGCTTAAAAAGCTGATGGCTCACTAGTTGGGGATGGGCTGGGGCTTTTGACCTCACATTTAAATGTAGATCTGCAGTGGAGAGTGATTTGTCTCGCCTGTCTAATTTGGGGGCGGCCTGATGTCAGGGTCTTGAGGCCTTCCTCTTCAGGCTGGTCAGCTTCTCTCAAGACAGATCTTTCAAGTAGTGAATTGGCCGCCAGGGTTCTGGCAGCTAGGTGGGGCAAGGGGATGAGGGAAGGTACCTCAGCATTAGTTACTACGGAATGTTGAACATACATTCGGAACGGTGCTTCTTTCAGTGTGGTTGGTGTCCCTTGATCCAAGACCCCCTGTTTTTACCTTTCAGGAGTTTAAAGCTCCACTTTCTGCTAGGGAGAAAATGGTCAAAGGTTATCAGGAAATATAACTGCTTTGAAAAATTTTAATAGCATGCGGTTGATTTTGTGGTAGCACCTTTCTGTGCGAGACCATGGTGCTGCATCCATAGGCCTCTCCGACAGTGTCGGTGGGAAGGCGTGGCTGCAGTTACTCCAGGTGTCTTCAGTATAGAGGGAGGGAATAGGTGCGGGGAGGGTCAGAAAGGAGGAGAACAGTTTGGGAAGAACTAACTGCATCTGAAATGGACACTTGAACACACATTTGTGTTGCCCTGTCTCCGCCCACCCTCCCCAAGGTCCCCTGAGTGCTGCCAGGTTCTCAGCCTTGGGACAATCTTGGGATCCACATTGGGTTGCTTCTTTACTGGTTCAAGACTCAACTTCTGAGCATCTACTAAGTTAGTTTTTCACTTTCAAAATGCAGTTGTCTCTCCTTTTACAATTATTTTCTTTGTGAGTTTATGATTTTTAAAATACATGAACCCCTTATTGACTTTAGTGGGGTTTCAGGAGGGTCAGCCTACGATCTTCACCCAGAAGGCGTCACTGCTCCATCTGTCTGATCCTGCCCCAGGCTGCTAACATGAACCTTGCAGAGGCGACCAGTGGCTTGTGCCGATAAAGCTGTTTTCAGTGCACACTTTTCTAAACTCTAGTTTGTGACACTCGAATTCTCATGTTTTCTTCCTTCTCTGATCCTTTGGTTTCCAGGACTTCACTATCTGTTCTTCTGCTAACTCCTTTTCGTTCTCCTTTATCTGCTGTTCTCTACTGCCCCTTAACATGTCAGCTTTACCCTGTGTCCTGCCCCCAGCATTATTTCCATCTCTTCTGTATTCTCTCTCAAGATGCAAACTAGTAGGACTGCTTTTCCTCAGAACAGTGCAGGGCAGGGAGGAGTGCAGCAGCCTGTGGACTAAATTCTGGATTCCACCTGTGCTAGCCGCGAGACCTCAGTGAATCGTGTAAGAACTGTGAGCTGCAGTGTGGTCATCTAGCACGTGAGGATCCAGAGAAGATGGCAGCACTGACTATGTACACTGTATTAAACATTCTTATTTCACCTTCAGTTTCGACTCTTATTTGTCTCCCTCCCTCGCAGTGGTCAAATCTGAATTTTCAACTTCTTCCTAAACATCTGAGAGCCCCACGAAGACTTGACACTAAATAAATCGGAAATTGAGATTTCTCTTTGCCCCCTTTTAAATCAGCTTTTTCGCCTGTCCTCTATTTCCTGAGTCAAGTTTCTTTTCCTCCTGGATCACTCCTACATCCATCTTTACTATCTCTACTGCCCTTGCAGGGAAAGGCAGGTATGTCTCTTTCCTGGGATGCTGGTGGAAAATGCCACTGCTGTGAAAGGCTGGTGCTCACGGGAGTACGGAGTGGGTCTTCCCTCCCTCTGACGTGTAGGAAAACAGGGGAGAATCTTTTCATTCAGAGCCGCACCTTTTCTCCTGGGCAATAGCCTCCTGACTGAGATCTGACTCCAGCCCATTCTTAGCACTATCGCTTTTTCTAAAACCCAATTCAGTCATGTTACTTCCTTACTTAGAAACCTTTGATTACTTACCATGTCTAGACCAGAATCCACACTCATGGACACAAGATTCTTTATGCCTCGGCCTTCTTGCCACTCACCTGCTCAGCTCACCACACATAACCCTCCAGCCACACCACAGTTCTCACTGTGTCTCAAATTCCTTGTGCCTTACGAAAGCCGTTGCCTTTTTCCACGCGTTTACTCTGCCCGAAATGCTCTGTTCTCCAACTCACTCTCTCCCTATTAGTTTATTCCTGCTCCTGTCTTTTACCTGCTCTAATTGTTCATCCTCTGTAAGCTTTCCCAGCTGGAGTAGGTTCCTTTGTATTCTCCCAACACCTTGTTCATACCCCTTTTGGGTCCTGGGGCATATTGTTCTGAAGTTGTGTGTACACGTATTTTCCTATTTTTTCTTCTTTGTGTGCTTAGCATAGTGTTCTCAGGTGTTCAGTTATTTTCAGTGAATGAATGTGAATGAATATCCAGTGACTTAGGGTCTTTTTTATTTGCCTGTTAACTTTTAGAGAAGTAGAACTCGTTAACTTGAGTCGGTTGATTGCATATTGATAAGTCAGCCCTCTCCATTCAGGTCTTGGTATATTTTATAAAGTATTTGAGCCTAAGAAGCGTATTGCAGATGATAGGAGCTGTGGTTATTTGCATGGAAGGTCAGTGTTTCCCCATGCTGTATATTTTTAACTGCCCACTCATCTTAAAATTTCCTCTCAAAAGTAGTCTTTTATCTACACCCAAGCAGAAATTATCATTGAATTCTTTTCACCAGGATGTGTTCATTTCTGTAAGTGGTACTGTGCAAAATGAACAAAACAGATTTTAGGAAGATTTTTAAACAATCTTTGTATTATAATTCTAGGGCACATTAGGACCCTTTATTCTACGTGTTTTTAGAAAATATTGTAATTAAGTTTATATTGTTAGCATCCCATTAGATGCCTCACATAAGAACCTTTCTATACCCTAGGCAAGGCGTGTTCATTAGAATCTCTTGGTAATGTGCTAGCTGAGGAAAGCAAGATGTACTTTGAAAAGATGTGTGGCAGGTAGTTGCAGTCCTGTTCCTGAGTAGAACCATTATGATGTTCCTTTGAAACTAATTACAAATATATAAAAGATTGACATTCTTCTCACATGTGTGATGTTGGGAATGCAAAGTATATTCAAAAGTAAACATTTGTGGCCAATTTTTTTGGCTCAGATTACTATGACATGGAATCCATGGTCCATGCAGACACCAGATCATTTATTCTGAAGAAGCCAAAGCTGTCTGAGGAAATAGTAGTGCCACCAAACCAGGAGTCGGGGATGAAGACTGCAGATACCCTTCGGGTACTTTCAGGACACCTTATGCAGACACGGTAGATGGTTTCTTTTTCTTATGTAGCTCATTTGTGTTGATTAGATAGTGCAGCTTAACTGAGTTCCCCGCTCCCCTCTCCCCATTCTAGCCCTCAGTGTCGAGTGCTGTTACTGATTCAGTAGTTAGGCCCCCATATAGTAAGCCAAATCCCGTTTTCAAAAATTCCAGTTCGTCTTTCCTTGTTCAGAAACCCATTATTCTTTAAATAAGTCAATGTATGATTTAGCTCTGTTAATAAGATTCTTTTCTTTATGTGTATCCAGGAAATGAAAATTTAAAAGCCAGGTGATCAAAATCAGGGAATCTCTCCAGAGAGTCAATTGGGTTGGGGTGATTCTTCCCTTAGAAAATTGACTAAATGTTCTAACAAACAGATAATAAAATTAGTATAAATATAGAACTGCTAGCTATTGTGTTCTGAGCATAGATGCTGGTTTTTCAGTACATTTCCATGTGACCTTCTGGGGATCAAATGGACGGTGGGGGGTCAGGTTTGAGGAGAGATTGTCCTCAATGCAGCCTGGACAGCCGCAGTGATTGGCCAAAGCCATTGTCTGGTAGCAGGATCCACTAAGGCTGCACCTGGACGTGCTGCAAAGTCTTTTACTGAAGAAGCCACAGGGCAAGTAAGGGACAGAGAGTTCTGCTGAGGAGCACTTAGGAGGCTCAGCGTTTTGTGTTTTGTTTCCCTAATTCTATGGTATTTTCTATCTATCTGGCAGAGATCTTGTACAACCAGATAAACCTGCAAGTCCCAAGTTTATAGTGACGCTGGATGGTGTTCCCAGCCCCCCAGGATACATGTCAGATCAAGAGGAGGACATGTGCTTTGAAGGAATGAAACCTGTAAACCAAACCGCAGCCTCAAACAAGGGACTCAGAGGTCTCCTCCACCCACAGCAGTTGCAGTTGATGAGCAGGCAGCTTGAGGACCCAGATGGTAGCTTTTCAAACGGTGTGTTGAGAGCCCAGACTTTCCCTTTCGGGGTGCTGCCACTGTGAAGGGAGCCTGTGACATGTTTCTCTACCTGGAGTGAAGATTGGTTGGAGGCTTTGCTTGTATTTGTTATTCAGTAGCGGCCTTTTTTCTTCTCTCAGACAAAACCACCAGTTAAATTTGAGAATGTTTCTCCTCTGTATGTTGTATAGATTGGCTGTTATTCTGGTGCTAAAATGGTATTTAGCCATGGCAGCCAAAAAATACCTCTTAATTATGCGTGTTACAGGATGAACCATCATTCTCGATTTCTGTTTACCCTTTTTTTTTTTTTAAGACGCTATACTTGTTACTTTCCCCTTGTACCAGCAGTAGTCTCTGTCGTAATTAACTTGACAGAAAAATGAATTTGGATTTTGATGCTTTTTCTACCTCAGTGAAATTCCCTTGAGAAGACTTTCTCACCTAATCTGTCAGAATACTTCCTGGAAGTTTAGAAAAGACCTGATGTTTAAATTACTTAGTATTGAAGCATAGTATTTAGAAGCCAGATCAGCTCCGTTCAGGTCGCTGTGTGCTTGAGGCAGATGAGCCTCTCGTGGTTTCTTTTCTCGCTGGACGCTAGTGGCAGTGCAGCTGCTGACCATTTTCATTCGTGACAGAGAATAATCATGCTCCTCACACCGTCTAAAATTTTTAGAACCACCTTCCTTGCCAGTAGACATAATTACTGAAGCTTAAAAATGAACAGTATCAAAGAAAAAAGAGTGCGTTTTGAAAATTTTCCAAAGTAATCCTCCTGTTGGCAGAGATAGGAAAATATTGGGTTGTCAGAAAAGTCATGACGTATTTTTTTCTACTTTTTTCTGTTTTTCATTGCAAAAATGCGTCATGCCTTTTCTGACAACCAAATATATTAAATAAATACCGTTTTCAGTAACTAAAAATATAATAGCCCTTAGGGGCCGATCACAGGCGAGTGAGGAGATGCCGCTGTACCTTGAGCTGGATGCTTTTCCTGCTGAGTCAGGAATGTAGGGTTATGGTTTTAGTTGGTGGAGAGAGTTGAAAATTTGACCCTATTGAGAGGAAGAAAAAAATTTTAATGGTAACGGAGGTGGTAAGAACTGCACAAGTCAGCCAATGCAGATTTCTTGACCTTGTATATGTTGTTTAAAATAAGAGAAAATTGTGGTGTTTTTACTACTTTGGTTTTCACTTTGGTAGCTTAATTTGTTGGTATGTCAGGGTCTAGTTTCAGTGAACTGTAGATGCCCATGTTAGGTTCTGTGGGTATATATGTCACAGCAGTGACACGCCAGTAAATCACATGTTGCCTAGGTTACAAGGTGCCTTGGCCAGTAGGTGGTGAGCCTCCTACCATTGCTTTGATCTGGAACTCGCAGTATCTCACTGCTGCGCAAGGGTGAAGCTTTGTAGTAGAGCATAGTGAGGGGGTGACTCCTGCAAAACAGTCACAGAGGCGCTCTGGTCTGTCTGCTGCCCCCCTCCAAGTCTGAAACTTCGTCATTGCTTTTGGTGGCTTTTAGTCCTGTGTTTCAAGGATGCTACCAACAGCAGCAGCTGTTTAAGCCACCCTCACTGGCCATATATGGCAGTGCAGGTTTTATAATTTGCCTCTTCAAATGTAAGCAGGAAAAGTATTAATAGCTTATTGAAGTAAATGTTAGGGAAAACCAGAGTCATGACCCTTTGTATATGTGACTTAACTTCTTTCAAAAATGGAAAGTTTCCTTATATTTAATTTCTTTGCTATTGCTTGTTTTACACCATTTTCCAGCCAGCCAGCTCTGGGGTATTGTTATAATTTCTTTCATTTGACCTGGTTCTCATGTACATTCCAAAGTATGTTGGTTAGGAGGAAGATAAGACATATTTTCTCTGCAGGATAACACAGAAACCATTTAAATTTGGGGAAAACTCTGGCTCTTCCAGATTTAATTTGAGACGAAGGATACTTTTTATCCTGGAGCTAAATAATGACTTACTAACTTTGAAAGTAGCATGGAACACTTCTGTATCAGGCATAGTCATAAGAGCTCTCTGAGGACTCTCCTTTCTGGGCTTCAGGACTGGATATGTGTAGCTTGTTTTCCTGTAGTGAAGACTGAGGTTGGGTCACTGGAACAAGAAGTAATCAGCACTCGCTGCTGCGTTGTAGGGTTTGATTGGTTACCAAGTTTGCACTCTTGTTTCCATGTAATTATAAAACTCTGAGGAAGACATTATATTCTCTGTATAAATGAGGAGACTGAAGTTCAGAGATGTTAGCTAGCACTTGCCCGAAGTGTCGAGCTCTGTCTGCCAGGAAGTTAAAGAGCCACCTTTCAACTGCCTGACGAGGGGGATGAAGTGGAAGCGGTATCTGCTTGCATAAGCTTGAATATGAACAAGACTAGGTAGTAACACCCATGATGCTTGTCTGAGGGGGCTGGGGTGTCTTGGGCCAGAAGTTGGCGGCTCAGTATGGCCATCAGGTGTAATTGTATTTTACTTATTCTTTGTTTTAAATTTGAATTAGTTGCCAGCGTTTAAAATTTTGATGTCATATAAAAAGGTTTTTGGCTTTCCAAATTAGGAGACAGTCTGGCAACACAGGTCCCACTTTCCGAGGCCATTAGTAATGACCTTGTGATCGGACACGGCTGGTGGGTGGGGTGGCAGGAGCCCCGTGGGGGGGCCGTGGGGGGCGCATGCGCTGCTCTTCCCCACCTGTTTGCTCCGCCGAGACTTCCTGCCATTGATCTTACAGCCAGCCTGGCTCGCTGTCAGGTGATCTGCCGGGCCCCTGTAGGTAGTGATGTCTGGGGCCCGTTTCAGGCAGAGACCTTCTCACCCTGTAGACACTGATGTGAGTGTGTCCCCCTCAGTGAGTGGGAACTTATGTTGGACCCCTCGTAATCTTGCCTGAATGAGAGTTAGTTCACTTCTTTGTCAGCTTGTGCATTCAGTTTCCGTTTCATTTTCTTGGCTCCCGACTTGACATGCTTCCCTCTTTTATATTTAATTCAGCTCTGAAATAATTTTGAGAATTGGGATGTTTTGTGAGAACTTTGTCTGTAGTGGCAGCATCACTGTCCACTTTCCTTTTCACAGTGAGAACTGCAGTCTCTTACAGGGTCCCTTTAACAGTGTTGATCACAGTATTTGGACTCATTTATTTCATATGACTGTAGACATAGAACAATATAAGATGTAAAGACTGGGTTGTGAGGGACTCTTGAAAGGTGCCATGTACTGAATTGATCATAATTAATGAGGTCCTTTTCATTCCTCTCCCTTTGTAGCTGAGATGAATGAACTGAGTGTGGCACAGAAACCGGAAAAACTTTTGGAGCGCTGCAAGTACTGGCCTGCCTGTAAAAATGGGGATGAATGTGCTTACCATCACCCTGTGTCACCTTGCAAGTGAGTAGAGGCAAACCGACTCTGCTTTTCAGGTTAATTTCCATACCCGATAGAGCTTATTCTTTTCTATGGTCACGTTTGAGTTTCATAACTAAGTGCAGTGAAACTTAACCCTGGCCTTCCCCAAATGGCTACTTGTGTGTGTGTTGAGGAGTGGGGAGATGGGAGGAGGCTTCTTTGTGTCTCAGACCAATGACATACTGAAATTTCTGGGTCTCCTTGAAGATTCTGTACATTTGAGTATCTGCCTGCCTGTTTGTGTGTGTTGTGTTCATACACAAGGTATTGGGGGAAAATTAGACGTAATGAGAAAACATTTTGGACTTGGGTGTAATTTTTCCTTACTGGCAAGGCAGGTTCAATGGAATGAACTTCAGGAGATGGCTTTTAGGTTTTTGTTTGTTGTCCTGTAGATGGACTCTCCATGTTTTAACTTGGGAATTCTGATGTGAGAAGAATAAGGAAGTATACACAGGAAGACCATGGATGAGTCCCTTTTTTTGGTAGCACAGTGCCTTGCACATATATTATGCTCATTATATTCAGTTTAATTCATGAAATATAAACAAAGACCTTAATGATAAAGTGGTGTGATTCTTAACATCACAAAAACCCTTCCATCTTTTCATGTGGCTTGGCTTGAGCTGAAAATATGTCACGACTCCAGGTTTTGGAATAGACAAGTTGTGTGCATTTTGATATATGGCCTCATTTAAAAATGGAGTTTCCTTTTTTCCTGTTACTTTTGTGTTTCTCAATCAAGTAGTTATGGAATATGAGTATAAGGAGCCTCTACAAAGAAACTGATAAAGGCATTGAGAAGATTAAATGTGAATAATATATATATTTTTTGTTTTATAGAGCTTTCCCCAATTGTAAATTTGCTGAAAAATGTTTGTTTATTCATCCAAATTGTAAATATGATGCAAAGTGTACTAAGCCAGATTGTCCCTTCACTCATATGAGTAGAAGAATTCCAGTGCTGCCTCCGAAACCAGGTTAGTGACTGCACTACTACATTTGGGTAAAAAGAAAAAGGACATTTTGTGACTATATTTGGGTAAAAAGAAGGAAAAATGACATTTTGTGACTATAAATAAAGTGAATAAAAAAGTTTCAAAATTGTGCCAGAATCACTTAATGTAACCAGTCTTGAAAGAGCAAGTACGTCCATACTCACGTATTCTTAAGTATTTTATGTTGACTAATGAATATATCTCATCACTGTATTTTGACTTAAAAATGGTTTCCATAAAAACATCAGGATGCATTAAAAATTATTTTGTTGAATAAATTTGTTCAATATTTGCCCTTATTTTCTCAGCAGTTACAACACCAGCACCAACTTCTACTAGTCAGCTCTGCCGTTACTTCCCTGCTTGTAAGAAAATGGAGTGTCCCTTCTATCATCCAAAAGTAAGAACTTTCATTTTCCCAAAAATGAATTTAGTGGTAACTTCTCAGTTGTGAGACCTGGAAGATCACTAGCAAATTGAATGTTGTCATGTCCCCTGCTCCTCTCCCCCCACCCCCCAAATTTTTTATTGGCCTTAACTTAATGGTATTTAAGACCTTTAGGTTGTTGCTTAGTTTTCACTGAGTTCCTGCTTGGCTCCTTAGGCCCTGTGGTGTGAAACCATTGAACATTAGTCTCCTGTCTCTCAGGAGAGTAAAACTCGCCTTTGCAAGTCAGTTTCCACTCTCTGCCCCAAGCATGTGGGTGTTTTTTGTTTTTTTTTGTCCTTCCTCAATGTCAGAACTGAGATGATGAAATCCAGTTGTGCTGCTTAATACCATCTCAGCTTGTACTGATGGTTTTCACTGCCTGTCCCCTAACGGTTGGTAGAGGTACCTCCAACTGTTGAGTTGCTCAGAGGGAATGGTCTCCTCTGAAATAGCAGCCTGAAGACCATGCGAGAGGCCTTCCCTTCCCCTGGAGGCAGTTGGGCACAGAGGAGGGTGCTCAGTAAAGAGGGGATGTCAGGCACGATGTGTAAGGCGATCATTCCATATTGCTTGGAAGTCGTTTATCACGTGCTAAGGTTTCGTTGGAAGTTTGACTTGCTGCTATTCTTTGACTAGGACTTTGTGTCTGGAGGGCTGCTCCTTTTTCAGGGTTTCAGTCATATTAAAATGAAAGTTATAGACCATTTCTCTTTTGCCCCATTAAATATAAGGGTGGGCTGGTTATTGTCATCTCAGATTGCTTTGTTTTTATTGCATTAGCTTTGCAGATGTTGAAACTCTGTTACCTCTTTAGCACTGTAGATTTAACACTCAGTGTACCAGGCCTGACTGCACGTTTTATCATCCCACCATCACCGTGCCGCCACGACATGCCTTGAAATGGATTCGGCCTCAAACCAGGTAAAGGTTAAATTAGTTTTCTTAATGCCATTTCAAATACTTTCCTAATACGTAATTTCTTAAATTTGTAAGCACACAAATTTGGAATAAACTATCACTTTGATTTTTCTCTGCTGTTTAATTTTACAGAGGTCCTCTGGAAAAATAATTTAGTACATAAACCAAATTCGTTTTATCCAGCAGTTGCTTATTAACCTGGATGATCTCCACATCAGATGTCTTTCACAACTTGTGAACATATACTAAGGCCTTCAAGAGTTACACTGTTTACAAATCTCTCATCAGTTTTCTTAGACATTAGTAATCATAAACATTGAGAGAGGAAGTTTTTTCAAAGTATTTTAGTATGGCCTATAAATTTAAATATGTTATCTTTTAATTACCTCATATATCATCATCTGTAGAACAAATATTCATTGTCTGAAAATAACTCAACATTTTAGTTGAGGTATATGCTATATATGGATGCAAAGCAGTTAATTAAAAAAAATTTTGGGTTTTGTTTATTCAGTGAATGACACCTAGTCCTACCTGGCAGAAGATCCTGAAGTTTGATGAAAATTTCCATCCACTGACAAAAGAAATTCTACAGAACTTGTCAAATCTTTGAAACTTGGAATATATTGCTTTCATAATACGAAGTTTATTGCCTATCTGAAGTGTCTAATTTTTCAAGTTTGTAAGCTATTTAAGTGGTTTTAACATTGGGTGTTTTCTTGTTTGCATTGTTTTGACTATGGAAAGACAGTTTAAGGAAAAGCTAAACTCTATTAAAACATTTGAGGCGTGTTTGTACACTGCTGTTTCCAGTATCAGCATTTACAACTTGGTGATATTGTCAGGACCAATAAGCCAGTTTGGGGCTACGGCGTTGCTGTGTGTGCAGAGTGAATAGAGTGAGGGGAGCGTCCTTATTGCAGAAGTTGAACTGCTGCTTTCACTTTTTTCCAAGGATGATATAATGTTCATAATCCACTAAAAACAGGAGTGGCCAAAAGTGCTGAGATGGCTTAAAATTGTCAGTCTTACTTTTTAATTTGAAGTGAATTTAATTTGAAAAGTATGATGACACAGGCTTCTTGGGTTGCGTGCTGCTTTGGTAAATAGTTCCAAATAGCTAGTCGTTTGCCTTCTGGGTAAGGATGAGTGAGGTGGGTGTGTAGGGTGAAAACAGCTGGAATGGCAAAAAAAATGAACAAGTCCTTAAAACGCTTTCATTTACTATTAACATACACTTTTAAAATAAATCTTTGGGAGACTACATTATCACAAAATTATACAAAATTTTTTACAAGTATGTATACACATAAGGTATTAGAACAGACTTTCAACTCACAAGATTATAGCTACCCATATACTTCCATTCTGAAAAACATTCTCAGAAATAACTCCACAGAAAATACAGTTACTGAAGATAATTTTTTAAATGTAAAAATTAGATTTCAATAGTATATTTTAAATGACAGACTATATAGTTACAGAGATCAGATGGGTAAATTGCAAAATAGGACTAAACTTTTTAGACTACTGAATTAAAATACAAAATTTTGTGTATGGTTTTTAAAATTGTTAAGGCAGGAGTGTCAAATGCTTTAGAATTAAAAAACGGATCGCTAATTCTAAAGACTCGATGTATAGTAATTTTTTAGAAAGTAAAGCTAAAAGTTGGTTAGAAAAAAGCAAATTAATGCAGAAGGGATAATAATGATTCAAACATTCTCAGGACCAAATTAAGAAAAAAAGTTCATTGACTTCTTTAAGTCACATAACCAAGAGATAATAAAATCACATCTGTAAAAGTACATGTTTAAGAGCTGTGGCCACTGCTTTTCCATTGGGAGAAGACAGAATTAACGAGTTTTAAACCATTCTGTAAGTTGCACGTGGCTGTGCTGATTCCAAAGTAAATACTTGAAACAGGAAAGACAAAGAAGAGCTAAAAGCAATCACGTGGTTAGGCTTGAATGAAATGAGTTCTTCCACTTCATTCTAAAAAGTGTATTCCATTGACTTTAAGGCATTTGTTCATTCCAGTGTTACTTGTGCTGCTTTACATCTCTGCAGAAAAAATTTGTTTTAAATTGTATTTCCAGAAATTTAAATAGACATTTAGTATAATTTATAAATGGTATATAGTTGCATTCTCATAATGCCACTGTAAAGAACATAAATGGGAAACTGGCTTGACTGGTTTAGTTTAGCCATTTTATAAGGTAATACTATGCTAAAATTGGATTTTTTTGTGGTATTTAGCAGACATTGCCTGGAATCACATTTAAGAGTTTAATCTTTCAGTTGCTATAGTTTATAGGCAAGCTGAGGTTGACTTGAAGACATTTGTTGGGTAATTGGGTCTAAAATGAACCACAGAAAATGGAAGGGGAGAGTGTGGCCAGCGGGACGCAGCGAGTGGCACCAGAATGCAGTGTGCTTTGGCATGCATTTATATACAGAAACGGGTAACGGGGCCAGGAGAAGTCCCAGGCCACACATTCAGGGCCTCAGCCAAACACTGCACACACAAGTAATTCTTTAGGTTAAAAGACACACGCAGGACAGGATCTCCATGGCCTGTCATAGTTTCCCTTAGTTGATGGCTGGTAAAAGCAAAAAGCAAGGGGGCTGAGGGATGACTACTTAAAATCAACATGACTTTTAGTGGTGAAACTGACAACAGTGATTAAGGCTGGCTTATCATGGCCACTTGGGAGAACAGAAATGCAATGGAAGCAATCTTATCCTATGTAGTTTACTTACTTAACGTTACAGTTAGAGCTTCTACCTGCACTGTGATGGAATGGAATCTCTCTTTAGCCAAAAGCTGGCAAACTTGACACAAGGAAAATTTGAAACTGCAAGTCTCAATAATGAAGGAAGAGGGTGGTTTATGGTTTAGGGGAATTTTTTCCTTTAATTTACTGACTGCCCCTGTGTATATGAATAGAAACGTAGTATTAGTGTATTCTAAAATTTGGCTTTATTCAGGAGAATATTTTGATGTGAGTAATGAAAGAACATGATCTTACTTTTCAAGTTTCTTAATGAACACCTGGATCAGTCTTTCAGACAGCCACTCAGACCTTTAAAACTGACCAGCTCCATCACTGGTTAGGCTTTCTGTGCTACAATTCAGCCATTTCTATTGTTTTTAGTATTTACAAGGTGTTGGACATAGAAAACTGAGATTTCCAGAAACCTAAAGGAGTCTATTATGGTACAAAGAAAGCACATTAAAATAAAAATTCAGAGGACCAATAGAGCATCTTAAACTTCTTCATACTTAGAAAAATATATTTTCAAATATATTTTCAAATATCAGTCTACATAATTTCCAGTCTTCAGGAAACTACAGACAGGCTAAACAGCAAATTCCTGAATGGCGAGTACTGATCTTTGGCAGCATTTAAAGTGAACAGGAATAAAGATCTAAGTTCAGCCCCAAGCCACCAAAAAGGAATTTTAATAGACAAGTTTTGTATACAAGTGAACTTGTATGCATTCCTTTTGGAAGTCAGCCTATAGGGTTGCACACTCGTACATCTAACTAAAATTTTCCAATTAAAAAAACGGTAAAAATTTTATTTCAAGAGTTAACCAAATTGTATAACTTTGTAAATGTGATTTTTAATGCTTTAGTTTATATGTTAAACAAAATGTTCCTATTAGACTACATCTTTAAACATTCAGTATTCTCTCCCAGTTAAATACTATTGCTATCTAAAACCTTAAAAATCTCTATGTACACCATTGGAAATTATTCTTCATCATACTATTTCATTAACAAGGCTATAATCATTTTAATTTTTTAATTCTAGAGATGACTTCTGAAAATAAGATTGACAGCTCAAAAATGAACATGTAGCAATCATGTGCTAACTTTGGATTTGTCCCTGAACTTCGAACTGCCAGGAGGAACAAGTCCTTTATAAAAAGGGCTTTTATTAATGCTTAAGAATTATTACATCCTCCAGTGAAACCTCTGTTTCCTTAGTGAAAATAATGTTTGCCTTTTAAAAACTAACCCTTTAGGGTAACGGTGTGTTTCCTTCCCTTATGTAAACACAAGGATAAAGTATTTCATTAAACAGTGAACACTGAAAATAAAATATAAATTCGAAAAAGAAAAAGTTTTGTTAAAAAGATGATGAAAATTATCCAACTTCGGTTTTTAAAGTTTTGGTTTGTTTTTTTGAGTAGTGCTGTCCCCGTAAACCCCAGCACTTATGCCAAATATGCGCATGCCCCCAAAATGGGGGTTAGCTTTCACCATTCAATCCTTTTTTGAAATGTAATTATCTGGCAGTGTATGGATTATGACAGTTACCCAATGCATATAGTAAATATTTTGAATTTATCAGTCTTCTATTTTGATGATTCTGGGCGTATATCCCTGTTACAATCTTAAATTAGCACCACTTGGCCATGCAGGATTTGCTTCTGTTTTTTTCCCCTGTTCTGTAATTCTGGTTTCTCAAGGCTGTTCATTTATAGTCTTCTCAGCGTCCATATCTTTCAGTGAAGCATATGTACACATTTCCAGACAAATAAACTGCAATCAGAGGGAAAACTGCAGTGAGTTGATTATATTTCTAGATTTTCAAAACAGTTTTAATGTTTTCAATTGAGCTTTCAAATCATAACATGTATAAAGTTTTTCCTTGTTAACTTCCTTTATTCTGTATTTACATAGTATGTGACTCCAGGAGTCAACTGGTTATGCTATCTTATGCTGCTGACAGTCCATAAACTGAAGGTTGTGGACGTGCTATTAAATCTCTTAGGAACTAGTACAGATGGTCTGCTCTTCTTGGGCTGAGAAAGTTACCAACCTGCAGTCATCACCTCCAGCACTAACAACATGTCGATCACCGCTGGTAAATCGAATATTTGTCACGTGGGGTGAATGACCCAAAAACCTTTTGTGCTTCGCCTAAAAAACAAAAATAAAGCTCAGAGCGTGTGATGCACACAGAAGTCAAAGGTTCCTATCAGGAACCATAATCTCCCATCTCCAGGGGTGTGGAGAGAATGAGCAGTTAGGACCACAGCCAGTGGTTAAGTACTTTTTCAGTTAGTAATGGATCTGCACTTAACACAAACTGGTTTATTTGGGCAGTCAGCTGTCTCCAGGTACTCTGAGCCTTTTCCTCTGAGGAAGAGCATTTGAAACTTGGTAATAGATTAATTAAAGGTTTGATAAAAGACTAATTACAGCTTTATTAGAATAGTTTGCAAAGATGGTGTTACTTTGGGGCCGGGGGATATAATTTCTAATAGCTGTTAATTCACAGTAATGGATTTAGGAAGTTTGGAAAAAATTTTAGAAAGTACTTTTCAAAGCAAGAAACAATAACACGTTTTAGCTCTTATATGGGAAAAAGTAATAACCAGACATCTAAATTAGTATAATTATATAAAATACTAAACCAAACACAAACTTACAAATTTTTCAGGACATGGAAAGTCAAATAACTTAACCATGCCAAAGTCATCTCCTGTTACAAGGCTGATCCCTGAATGAGATACGCAGGCACAGTTGACATCAGCTTTCTCAGCATGTCTGGACCAAATTCCCACAACTTCATCTCCTAGAATACTAGAGGGAAGGAAGGAAATAAAATCCACCAGAGCAAAGACATTAATTACCAACAGCTTTTTCAGTATGGTAACTCTTTAAGTACCTAAAGGAGTTATTTTATTAAAATACAGGAAGCAAGTTGTGATAAGGCAAGTTCTCTGGAGTCCTGAATTTCACCTGGGATGCTAACCCATCTCCCCTAAAGGAAACTTTATAATAGTTTTAAGGCTTTATAGATTAAATAACCTTTTAAAAATTAACACTTTATGAGAGCTGATAAAACTATTTGTAAAATAAAAAATGATGCATATGCTATAGGAATTTGATGACAGTTTTCACTGACTAAAAATCTGGATGCTCATGGTTACCTTTTACACAGCCAGCAAATTTGAACAAATTTATAAGGTTTCATTTCTAAGCTGCAAAATAGCATTCCTTTAAGGTAGAGAAATACAATTGCCTAACAGTACCCAATATATATTTTTATTGTGTTATTAAACCTATGTTAAAATATCAGAGCATCTTTAAAGTCATAATTTTTATTTCCTTTTTTTAAAAGATCTGAAAAAGCATGGAAATATATTCAACCTAAAGGGGTCCCAGCAGGAGCATATCATTCTGTTAGAAAGAACTCAAGATATGGTAACAAAACTTAAAACTCAGTTACTGTTCCCTAGTGGAAGGGCTGACTGTTCAGAAATAGGGTTTTCCAGTTTTCCTAACTGACCTTCAGTCTTCCCTTCTGAATGTATGAAACGTTTACCTAGTCCATGTGGCCCAAGTAATTCTGTCAATGGCAGCCTGATCCATAAGATGTCTTCCTGAAGGCACTTCATAGACATGCCGTTTATAGCAACCAGTGGAGACCTTTCATCATATATTAAAATGGGACAAGAATTCCATTATGTGAGAGGCAAAAATCCAGAATTTTGCAGCATACTAGCAAAGTGCTACTTGATTTACATTTCTAACATTAAGAACGTAAAAGATGATACAAAACCTCTAAGCAAAAACGGAATAAAGGACTGAATGCTAGAGTGGGTTTGAAGCGCAATCAGTGTAGGAGCAAAACCACCATAAAGTGGTGGCTGGTGTTGGTACTGTACCTGGAGGTGTCTGCTGTCTGCAGAGAAGTCCATTTGAATGACAAAGCTTGGGATGTCTTTGCAGTAGCTGATTCTGTTAAGGGTGGGGCCCAATGACAGGTCATAAAAATCCACTGAATTCTCACTGGAACCCACTGCCAGAAACCGGGAATCGGGACTAAATCTGAATATGTAACAAAACATTGGAAAGACAGGTTAGGCTGCATGAAATAGTATAAGCAATAAGATCAGTGACTTTTTCTTTCTAGCTCAAAAATAAGTAGACGTGTGATATGGCCTCAACTAGACAGACACAACTGATCATGGATACTGAGATATTTGTGTGACACGAAGCAAAAAGCTTTATGTTTCACTTTCAATTTTAAGTGGTTCCTGAATTTTCATCTTCTAATTCCCTTAAAAATATCTTAGTTTTTAAAAAGCCACTAACAAGTACATAATTACTAAGTTACATAATTCACTAAGATAGGATTCTTTCATCTGGAAAAACCGTGTCTTAAGGAACACAGACCAGCTTAACTCACCGCAGGTTATCAGATGAAGTGACATACTTGAAGCCTGGAAGAAATTAGTTTAAAAGACAAAGTACTATTTGCCTAGTGATCACGGTAAGCAGTATTTGACCAGTCTTTAGGAACTTCTGTGACCCTTGTGAGATAGGGACCTTGGGGACACTGGGGAGTTAAGGGAAGCCACATTACTGTTTTATATGCTGAAATTCTGAGGAAGGTTTCATTTGCAAAAGGGTTTTACTGGTGAAAAGTGCAAGACTTTGACAGCCCTGGATTCATGCTTTATCCTGTTCATATGGTGTCAGTAAAGGGTAGCCACTGTTTTTCTCTTTAACACTGTTTATATAAACGGCTTGTCTCATGGAGGAGAGAACACCAGAATAGGTTAGACTCTTGCTATAGAAGTAGCCACTGTTAAAATAAGCTTGCTTAAGCACTGAAAAATAAAGGTTCAGGAAAAGTTGAAATTAATTCAGATTCTGGGGCATAGCATAATGAATATGAATTAAATGAATGAACTAGATGTTCAATTGAGTTATTAAGTCAAAGATGTGGGGTTATAACTTGAGTTTTCCAAAGGCTGACTACTTTTGAAGGACAGATGAAAAGATAAATTCTTGGCAGGAGGAACATACTATGCAGTGTGGTACTTGTTACAAGGCACTGTGGTTGGTGCTCAGTGGATTCATAACTGAGCCAGGAGAAGTACACGAACAGCCATATTTCAGCATACAATTGATGTGATGAAACACTGGACACTAATGACCTTGTTCCAAATGCAAACGATCATTTAAAAGTATACTAGAAATACTATTCCATTTGTTGACTGACCTGATATCGTGGATTGCACATCGTCTATCTCTCTTCTTTCCCCATATTTTTAGAGAGGTCACCAGTAAAATGATAAATTCTCCATTTTTCATTCCAATAGCCACCATGTCCCCTTCAGGGCTGTAACACACAGTGCGAGCAGCATGTCCCAAATTTACTTTGTTTAACATCTTCTGCATAAGAACCAAAAGATACACAGAGAGCCATATTGAGTACTTAAAAGGTAAACCCATTTCTCCCCAAAATTATCAACATAACTGAGAAACTGTAACATTTTACAAAATTGTTTGTACCTACTTTATCAGCAATATCCCAGAGTCTCACTGTCCCATCTTCTGCAGCAGAAAGAAAAAAATCCCTGGAAGGATGTGTGGCTAATCCCCATATAGGTCCATCCACATGACCGTTAACTAAAATATTACATGCTGCATTTTTCTCTCCAACTTCAATTATTTCAGCACTCCTTGTCCCAACTAGTATCTTGCCCTGAAACACAAGTGGGACCAATATAATTCATGTAATATTACAGTTGCTCTTCTTACTGTAACAATGACCTTACTGACCTACGTGATAGTATGATTTATAAGAAATGCATATTTGGTCTTCGGGCCCTTTCTGGGACAAAGCTCCCAAAACCCTTGGAATTTACTAAGTGATAAAAGCCATAAAGATGTCTTGGTATGCTAATGAAGTGACACTCCCTGTAAGGATGGGGACTGGTTGCCAGGAGACCCAGCTTAGACTACAGGGTTGGAACTTTCTGGCCCACCTCCCACCTCTGGGAGGGACAAGGGGCTGGAAGTTGAAACAATTACCAATGGCTAATGCTTTAAGCAATCATGACTGTATGATGAAGGCTCCATAAAAATCCAAAGGATTTTGGGTTGGTGGGGATTTGGGAGGGTGGAAGCCCTGTGTCCCTTCCCACAGGCCCGCCCTGTGCTGTTCTACATCTGGCTGTCCCTGAGTTACGTCCTTTGACAATAAACTGATCTGGTAAGTAACATGTTTCTCCAAGTTCTGTGAGCCGTTCTAGCAAATCTGTAGCTAGCTGGTGAGAAAGCAGCACAGGTTTCAACCTGGACTTGAGACTGGTGGCTAAAAGGCGTGGGGGGCGGTCTTGCAGGACAACCTGTGATCCCAGGGTAGATACTGTCAGAACTCAGACCCTGGTTGTGTTGGAGAACTGCTTGGTATTGTGTGGGCACCCCCCAACCCCCATGTTAGAAGTGGGTCCAGAACCAAAATAACCTGCTTTCAGATAACTTTGCTTTGCACTATCTAGTAGGAAGCCAATCATTGCAAAGTTTTCTGACTACAGGCACGTTTGCAGGAGCACTGGGCTGCATGCAGGTCTGAGTCCATACTGAAGAGCAGAGCTTTTCTGTAAGGTAATACACCTGGCTTTTCCAGTCTTCACAGTTTTCACTGATGATGTTTTAGTTTGAAGCTCTCCAAAGAGGGTTACATGCATTGGAATATAGGAGGAAAGTACTGGATTTTAATTAAAAATATGTATAAATAAAAGTAAGCTTAACTAATATTTAAGATATAGACAGGATAATACATGTAGGTGATTTATAAATATACTTAATGCCAAGTACATGCATGGTCAAAAATTTTTAATAAGCAAATGTGATTTTTTAAGAAAATGAGACCAGCTGCATTATTCAAATTGGTCAACTGGAAAGAAAATTCAGCTCTACCATAGAATTAGCAGATTCAAGAAAATCTGGAGGTTTAAATCCAGTGCTTGGGCAAACAGCTTCCTATCTTAAGCACTACACCGGCACAAAGACTACGTGCCAACAATGGAACTGCAGAGAAACGGCGGGAAAGAACCGACAAGCAATCTGCCTTTAAGTGTTATCCATCGTCTTGCAAAGGGTGAGAGAATCGCAGGAATAAATGTTCTTTATTTCTGCGGCCTGTAGGGCTCCGGGAACCTCTTACTTTGCCTCTGCACACGGAACGGACACAGTCTGTGGGTTGTCCTGTCTCAAGCCTGAAGGCTCGGCATCGCCTCAGCTCCTGATCCCACAGTTTGACTGCTCCTCCTTCTTTTGACCTAAGTAAATAAAAACGCAAGCCCCAAAAAGCACTTGTTACTGGATAGTGCAAAAAATTTTTATTATAAACAGATACTAAATGAGAAGCAGAATACTAAAAAGGCCTGATAAATTAAAATTTGCTTCATATATTCTCCTAAACTTTTTATGGCAATTTTAAGATATACTGTATTTCAGTCAAACATTTAGTTTAAGCAAGTTTTATTTTACAAAAAACTCATTTTTCTGACATGAGCATTATTTAGTCCCCCGCCCCCAATCCATGTATCCTCTCTCATAAGACTTAAGGAAATGTACAAAATGATTTTTAATGTTAAAAGGATAATGGAAATGTAAGGCTAGAGAACAGGATTACAGATGCTATGCCACAGAATGTTTTTAAGGGCCAAAAGACAAGCACATTTTTTTCCTACCATTATTATTAAAATATCCCCCGAAACAGTTTATAGACTGTTAAGTAGGGATGCACAAGACTAGATGACTTGTGGAAACAAGTGTCAGAGTAACATGTAAAAGACAGACTATAGCCCATTTATGGTTTTTCTCTTGGAAGAATTGAGAAAAGGTATTGCTTTATTTTCTGCTAGATGACCTTGTCTTAGAAAAAAACATGTCCTTGTACCACAATACAGTCTTCCTTTATGGGAAAGGCAAAAGCGTCTGCATTTGTGTTTAACTGATATACATATGAAAATGTTCTTCTTGGTCATGTACATATGTTACATTTTAACATGCATATGAATATGTTGGTAGGAAATCCATTATAAGTATCTGGCTTCCAATGGAAGACTTAAAAATCATTCAGAAAATGGCCTCTCCTCAGACTTAAATTTTGAGGTCTTGTATTAAACACTTTTATCTAACACGTTTGCCTCAAGCAAAAGCAAACAAGGCAGGGTCTGTCTCGAGCATCCTCTCATCCTTTCCTAATGCAGCCGTATGCATTCTACCCTTACTATCCAGTTTGAACAAAAAGAAAGCAAGCAGTCTAGGTGCATCCAGGGTTCAGTGGCAGACTCCCCCAAGAGTCATCTATTAGTCAGCAAATACTTACAAGGCATATAGCCATAAAGAAAATCAATTCTTAACTTCCATGATCCCTACCTATTCATATCGGAACAATTATCACCCCGTTGTGGGAGTTTATCTACAATGCAGAAAAAACTGGAAGCAATTTAAGATCAGAAATAATCAACGAGAAGGCACATTAAAGGCTTACTGCATATGATGAGGAAGGTCAGAGAGGATAATCCACGCAGTTTAGAAACGACTGGAATAACTACCTGCAAACCTCAGGGGAATCACAATGCCTAGGGATTCAGGACGGCTGTGAAAAGAAAAAGGACTCACGGCCTTTCCTTGCCACCAGTCACAATAAGTCCATCTCGCAGGGTGGTGTACATGGCAAACACAGGCCCATTGTGAGCTCTAGCCACGATTCTACACAACATGTGATCTTTCCACACACAGACATCTCCACTGATGGTACCTGTAAACGTCAAGTTATTCTGAAAAGGAGTGAGGAAGGGGGAGATAAACTCATCAAAGGTTCAAACAGAGTTCAAACAGATGCAATTCTCTATGTTAGTGTGAGCCTATCTCACCTTGGATACAGAGAGCATGGATGGCGGGAGACACTGGACTCAAGAGTCAGAAAACCTGAACGTGAGGCTTAGCTTTGTGAAGGCCTTGTCCTTCCAGGTCTGTTGCTTATTAGCTGGAATAACCTTTTAACCATTATGAGTATCAGCTTTTTCATGTGTAAAAAGGGAGTTCAGGTCTCTAAGGTCTCTTCTAATTATAAAATACATAATTCTAGTTTGGATTGCTTCCTTCTAGCTGCCCAACAAATAACTTAAAGGTCATTAGTAACTTACAGTGAAAAAAGCACAGAAATAGGAAGTGGAAATAACTTTTTATTAGGCTTGATAACGTGTTTTGTCATTGAAAGTAAAACTTACCTATAGCAAAGTTGTAATTTTTCAGATTTCACTAACTCATGAAGTTAAAAAATGAAATTAACATTTGCTATTTCTTAAAATCAAGATAGCAAAAGTTAATGCATTTCTGCAATCAGTCCAAAATAAGATCAAATTGATTAGGTGCCAAAAGTTTAATAATGCTTTATCACTGAGAACTGCAATCCTGGGGCCGGCAGAGTGGCTCAGTTGGTTAAGAGCTCACTCAAGAGTTTGACCTCTGAGCAACAGTGGTTCAATGCCGGCCCGACCTGAGTTGCCGCTTAGCTGCCAACAGGTGGCAGGATGACTCAATTACAAAAAAAACAAAAAAACAAACAAAAAAAACTGCAATCCTGGTACTCATTTATATGGAAACTGGAGAAACCAAATCCTGCATCATGTGCTATTTTCATCCCATTTTAGCGTCAGTTTTAGAGCAACTTGTATATTTCACTAAAAACTATGGAAAGAACCAATAGGAAAATAAGACTGAATTATAACAAAACAAACTGAGATTCTCTTTAATCTTTCTGAGAATAATTGTTTTTATGTTTAATTTCCCTACAACAATTTAATGTTACTTCAAATTCCTCGGCATTTATACTTGTTCTCTATAGCTCATGTTTGAATAACAATATATTTGCTATATCACTAGATAATTGTACTATCTAAGAGCATCATTAATTCATGCCTTATCTGCAATTAGAATGTGAATGGTTTAAGTGGAGAAGCCGCCTTCCGCTTCCCCTGCTGTCTCACAGCCCCCAGCACAGGGGCTACGGGGCTAACTTTGAACGTCATCCCACCTCGTTATGTAATGAAACATTCTCACTGACTGCACTGTTGCTTCAAACATAAAAGTCTAATATTTTAATCTTAAAGTTTATTTTCTATTGGGAATGGGCAACTGGCTACATAAGGAATTTTATATGTAAAGAAAGTTAATCTACATGGGGAAATTAAACACCAGAAGCACTTGAATGTGTGGGTTTTTCTTCTGGAAATGAATTACTGGTCTTAAGAAACCCCAAAAGATTTAACTGAAATTGGACATCGCATGATCAGCATTTTCAGTGGCATTTTACTCAAAAAATATAAGTGTGCTTCAAGGTTCTAAAATTATAATTTTCTTCCTTCAAATATTATATACCCACATAAATGCTTCAGTAAGGAAATCCACTTGGGTTTTGATACACAGGATTGAAAATGCCTGGCCCAGGTAGGGTATTAAAGGAAGAGATGTGGATTGTAAAACACAGGCCAGGACTGGGTAGGGGGGTGGGGGGTGCTGGGGGGGTGGCTTTTGAACACCTTTTGTTAAGACCAGGAACTGTGCTCCTCCTTCTTCCCCTGAATGAGAGACAAGGCCAGAGCGCTTCCAACTATGTGATCAGCAGCAAGTTAAAATGGCAGAAAGCAAAGGAAAGCCTAAACTTTTAAACACTTGAGAATTACATTTCTTTTTTTCTCTTGTAACAAATTTTTAGGACCTAGAAGACTTAGGGTGACAACTAAAAATTAACGAAGGCTTTTGAGAATGGCCATGGCCCAAGGACACAAATGTTCATTATAATCCCTCCCACTCATTTGCTTTCTTTCCCACTCCCTAATTTCTGAAAGTTTCAGAACTTGAAAGATGCAATAGATGCATGGCCAGGACACATGTAATGATGAGTGGGTTTCAGTGCCATATAAACAGCATTAGTGTGGCTTATCTAAGGTAGGCAAATTCAAAGGAGCCCAACTGACATAATGCAAAGTACGCTACCATATGCATTTTAAGAGACATACTGCACCAAATGCGACAGCGAGCATGGTCTGCATCCGGGCACCTTCCAGCGTGCTCAGGAGCCCTTTCTTGCTAAGAAGAGCCCTTCCTGCCAGTGTCCAGAACCTCACATGTTTCACTCCCACAGAGACAAACTGGGAATCTGAGTCCGGTCGGAATTCTGCCACAAAAATACGTTGGTTGTGACCAGCTTTGCTGGCAATTTTGGCACCTGGTAAGAAAGATACAACAAAATTATCTAGGTTAATGTAAGAACTAAGGTAATTTGGGCCAGCTGAGTGGTGCGTTGGTTAGGAGTTGGCTTGGGACGCCAGTTCTGAGAAGCAGGGCCCCTGTTCAATTTCCATATGAGAGCCAGTGACACTGCCCTCTACAGCTAAGATGATGAACAACAGATCGACCTGGAGCTGGGCTGCCATGAGTTGCTGGCGACGGCGTAGGCTACAGTGGAGCTGGCCAGCAGCTGGCATGAGATTTTGTGAGCCTCCATGCGTGGCCGTCCAATGGCCGGCGAGCGACTGTCTCACTTGGGAAAAGCACAATGATCAAACCAAATGGGCCAGTGAAGCGGCGTCCTCCACAACTAGACTGAAGAACAAAAGGACAGCAACTTTTCTGTTCCCCATCCCAGATTCCCCAAAGCTGTTCCCCTCCCCCAATTCCCCAATAAAATCTTAAAAAAAAAAAAAAGAACTAAGCTAATTTTTACAGGATCCAACAGTTATTCAAAATATGTAGTTCAAAAAATAAATGTTTATAAAAAAGAGGGCACGTCCCTTGCGCTGCTACCTAGCAATCACATGACATAATTACTTGTGTAGAGGGTCCTTTGCACTATTTTTGTAAGTAAAGTATATATTTATGGAGTCTCATTATCATTTAAGGGACATTTTAGATTTCAGAAACCGTATCTTTTTTCTCTGTAGCTCTATGAATTTCATTTTTTCTAGTACCTATGTAACTGAAATGTATTAATGTCTGAAGTGTATTAATATTACCCTAGTGATCTTCCACTATCACTTACAATGTACTTCATTTCCATTCTTTTTAAAAACACATTAAAAACTTTATTGTAAATATAGTACATTTCCAAATTTACATCAATTTGATACATTTCTGCTCATTGTGCAGAACGCAATGGTTGCAATTCCCTTAAATCTCAAGTCAACGTGCTTTAGATCTTTTCACACTCATCCACCTCCGGCCCTTCCCACCTCTCTCAGTGATGGCGTGCTCTGCCGTCTACTCTGTGTCGTGCTGAGGTGCCAGTCAATCCCTGGGTCCAGGGAGAACTGCTTCCAGAGGGGCTAGCCCTGTAGCTGGAGCGGGCGAGATATTCCCTCTTCTGCTGTAGGGCTGAGCCTGCCCTGGGCCAGCCTGAGTGCTCAGGTTAGGCCTGTATTCATTGCTCCAGCCTGCCCACTGTTCTCTTGGTTTTCTCTCTGTCCCATTTTCACCCCTAGCCTGAATGGGTAACTGGATACCCTCAGCAAAATTAACTCCAGTTAAGTTTCATGGAGTATTCCAGAACCTAGATTTGATAGTGTATTATTGTTATTTTTTAATTTTCCAAAGGGCTCTATTTTTTTAAAAACAGGTTTTATTGGGGAACTGAGGAAGGGGAACAGCCAAGTTGTTGTCCTTTAATCTTAGTTGTGGAGGGCGCAGCTAGCTCGGCTCCAAGTCCAGTCGCCATCTGGCCGCCCATCAACAGCTCGTGGCCGCTCACCTCAAGGCGCCGTGTTCAATCTTAGTTGTGGGTAGGTGCAGTCCACCATCCCATGTGGGAGTTGAACAGGCAACCTTGTTGTTAGGAGCACGTGCTCTCACCAGCTGAGCCATTCTGCCACCCTGTGGCAGCTCAGCTCAGGCGCAGCTCACTGGCCCATATAGGAATCGAACCGGTGACCCTGTTGCTCAGCGCTCCCACTCTTAAGCTTTTTTTTTTTAATTGGGGAATTGGGGGGATGGGAACAGCGCTGGGGAATTGGGGGAAGGGGAACAGACAAGTTGCTGTCCTTTTGTTCTTCAGTCTAGTTAGTTGTGGAGGACGTTGCTTCACTGGCCCAAGTTGGCACCATCATTGCAACTTAAGCTAACTCTTAACCAACTGAACCACTCAGCCGGCCCATTATCATTATTTTTAATGGAAGTGGGGAGGAGGATCTGGAAAAACTTCCCTGGACAAGAACGGGGGGAACTGTGTAGAACAGGGTTTAGTTCTGTTCCTCCCTCCTCACCCAGCCTGGCCAGCACTGCGCACAGCAGTGGTCCTGCTCCTCCTCGGGGGTGTGGACACGGAACAGGCACTGGGGTCTAAATGCAACCTCATTTCCATTCCTGATAAGATCCTCCATAACCAATCAAATAATTAGCAAAAATGCTTAGTTTCTTACTGAAAGGAAGGAGCTACAAATCATTTCTAATATTGATAACTTTCATTAGTTTGTTTGAGAGCTTCCAAGTTCACTGGGTTTTCAAAGTGGAACATGCCTACAATTACACCAAGTGTGTAGTGTGTGTCGTGCAGGGCTGTAAGGAATGATGGCTTTAATCACCAAGTTATGGAAAATATTAAGTAGAGAGTTCATATTACCACAGTATTCTTATTTAAAAAAAAAAATTAATCCTACCTTCCTGCCACCTCCAAATGGTAACAGTATGTTCTGGGTCTAGTCCCACTGACAGCAAGAGTTTGCCAGTAGCACTGAAGCTGACTGAACACACTCCCTTGGAATGGGAGCATCTTAGTATAGATAAAGTCTGCTTGTTCATTGCATCCCAGATGTGGATAGAAGGAGCTGTAGCTAATAAATAAAGATAAAATCCAAAAGTTGTAATACACCTATTACAAATGTTTCCATTTCTAAAGCTGATGCATACTCATCTCTGAAACAGGGAAAAATATGTTACCAAAGAAAGGCTGTGTACTTAATAAAAAAATAACTCAAAACTAAGACTCAATTAACAAAAAAAAAAAGGAAAGAAGGAAAGGAAAAAATAAAGAATACTTCTTTAGTCTATAGTCCAAATTGCACTTTTGAGAAAAGAGCATTTAGACAAGCAAATTAAGTAATCACAAACTTTAAATTCCTCAAAAATAATGCGTATTTGAGATACATGTTAAAGCATTATACAAGTATGTGGAGAAATGTATAAAGATTACACAAATACCAGGGTATATTCAGTACTTAGGTTATCTGAAGGAGAGATAAAAAGGAAACACAAATTGGGGGGGGAAGATAATACAGGTAAGAAACCACCTGACCATCTCTCAACTGAAATTTTTAACTATATAGACAGATACCTGGTAAGTAAAATGCTAAGTTCATATCACTTTATAAGATAGTTTATTTAAAAACAGGATTTCAAGGGATAAATAAAACCGCTAATCTTTATTAAAAATTATATTGCTGTTATTCATCTTCTGTAGCCATTTCTACTGCTTACAGTTTTTCCTAATTCCCTGTATTTTCTAAGTTAAAAAAAATCATTGCTTTGTATTGTCCTTTTTTCATGAACTACACCTTAAAAAATGAATAGATGAGTTAATTCAGAAGCTAATTCAGTCTCAGAATATAAGTACTCTTAGTAAAATAATCAAAATACTAACATGCATTTGCTTTAAATTATAAATCTTCTATGAATACTGTATTGCAAAAATAGAGCAATATTAAATAAGACAAGCTGCCTTAAAACCATTTGATGCAAAAAGAAATTTTGGTCTCTAAAGAAAATAATCTGATAAATTTAGACCATATTGTCACCATCTACCATGATTAATTACATCAAATAGTTCTTCAAAGTAGTTACATACAGAGGGTATGCAAAAAATGTATACACATTTTAAGATGTATACATTTAACATCTTAAAATGTGTATACATTTTTTGGGCACCCCAGTGTAGTAAACCAGAGATTTAAATTTGAGTATCATTAAGTAAAAACTGGTCGAAGAATTACTCAACTTTATGTAAAATATCAAAACTACACGGAAATAGACATAAAGGTTTATCATATAATAAAATAAGGTATTTGTGTGAAAAATTGACAATAATTTAAGTACTGGACTAAAATTCGAATGTTCCTTGGTCAATAAGTCAAAGGATACGAGGGACTGTAAACTCAATCTCAGTAAGGAATGTTAGGTTGTTTAAACTTAAAATGTAAATTATACTGGTAAATCACTGTAATTTTTTGTCCGTGATATTATATAGGTCTTCTCTAATACGGAAACATTTTTATATGTTTACAAAAAGCACCTCTAGGCAGTCCATACATATTTGCCTAAATGTGATGCAGTAGATAATGGATTCTCAGGAAACGGTAGTTATTTCTGTCTCCAAATTGAATATGCCACAAATTACAAAGAGTTCCATTTATCTAAAACTTAGACAGCAAGTAATCTTAAGTAAATTGAATCACTGAGCTTTCCAAACTTTTATAAAAAAATTAAACAGGATAGTAAGAAGCTTATATCAGGAATTTACATTTTAAAACATATAGGTATGATTATGTTATGAGATTGCTACACATTTAGACAGTTCTAAACTTAATAGCAGTAGTTAGGATTTAAATTACTGGAAATTCTCAAAGCCTAACTTACTAAAACAAGATTGAATTATGTTCACTAAGTGTATTTTATTTTCTCCTATACAGTTGTCCCTCGGTTTCCATGGGGGGCTGGTTTCAGGACCCCTGCAGATGGATACCAAGTCCCTCACATAAAATGGCACATTATTTGCATGTAACCTGTACTTGCATATAGGCTACTGCAGGGCGTGCCTACACACCACTGCATTCGTGTAAGGCTCAAGTGTGGCAGATTCAAACTGTGTTTTTTGGAATTCTCTGGGATTTTTTTCCCCCCGAATACTTTTGACCCTAGATTGGTTGAATCCGTGGATGTGGAACCTGTGGATAAGGAGGGCCGACTGTAATTTGAACACGTTCATTATGCTGCAGTATGCTACAGTAACCCTTCCCGTACGTAGCCCACCAGGTATGAGTGCCTATCATGGGCAAGACATGTTACCAGGAACATCTCACACTTTCTTATCCCTACTTCTAGGCAGATCTGTCTCCTCATGAACTCAAGCTCAGAAAAGTTAAGTGACTTGCCCTAAGTCACACACAACTCAGCGGTGGCAGAGCCAGCAGGGGTGTGCTGTCTGTAGTGCCCAGGTTCTAATCTTGCTCTTTCCATCACATCAAGCTGTCTCTGGAAAATCAAGCCCACCGAATTTTCATACCCATTCTTGATTCTAGACTCCAGTACAGAGATGCCATGAGGGTCTCTTTAAATTACTAACTGGATCCTGTAAGAATAAAAGTTTTAAAGGATATTCTTTCTTCATCCCCCAGTTTGCCTCTGATGCAGCAGAATAAAAGCTATGTTGCAGAACAAAATTTTACTGTGGGCTATTAAGTGTGCCAATTGTTATTTTGCCCTTTACTTTCTGTAGTGGATAACTCTTTGCTGTACACCCAGCATCCATTCCTTCCTTCCTTCCTAATAAAGCTCCAATTTTATTCAGGAATACACTGTTCCCTCATGCAGTGCACGGAATTCAGGGGAAAGACACTACATGCTCAACTGATTAGTCTGAGCCCATTGTGACGACACTCCCTGCACCCTTAACCCCCTAACCCTCCCACACTCCACACCCCCACCTCTGACATCGGTGATTTAGTTCAGTAACCCAGATTTAAGCCAATCAGTACATGGTATTCCCCTGGTGTCTTCTGAGGAAGCATTAACTCCAACTGCTGTGACCATAAATACAACCAGCCTTCTGGGTGAAGTCACTGCCGCGGATGGCAGAGCAGATTTGGGAAGTGCATCGTGGAACTCCTGCATCAGCAAACTCAAAAGATCACCCCCCTTCACTCTCACGAGCTAATGAATTTCCTTATTTTCTGTCCCAGAGGCACACAGAAGACCACTAACATCATTTAATGGACAGCCGTCTATTGTGACATAGTAACCAAGACCAGGGAAAGAACTCTCTCTCCTTGAATCGCTTTAGGGATCAAAAATGTCCAATTCTTAGTTCCTAATTCAGAATCTTAGGTGGGGCCGAAAAAGTTTTGTCAGAGACTAAAGATGTTCTGTTAGTGTCTACTCAAAATACATTTAATGTATTCAGATGGTAATTATACCATATCTTTTCTAACATAAATATTTACTCTCCCATATTCCAAAGCGACAACTTCAAAATTTTATCTCCGACTTACTTCACCCTCCTCCTCACTCTGAGGAGAAGACAAAAAGCATCACACAGCAGCGTCCTTATTTCCTGGCCTCCAAACCTACCCACCTTCTTCATGTGAACCTACACTCCTTTCATTCCTTGTGTCTGTAGATATTTATCCCTGCCCAATTATTTCTCCCAAAGTATCCCCCCGTCTCAATAAGCCAGCTACTCAAGCAAAAAATTAAGTTAGCCTTGATTCCTGACTTTCTATCATGTCCCCACATCCAGTTCATCAGAAAGGACTGCTGGCTTTACCTCTAAAACATACCCCACATTTGTCTAGTTTTCTCCATTTTCACTCTAAGCACTCTAGTTTAAAATGTCTTTTGCTTGTACTACTATGAATAACCTCCTAATTTTCTGATTACTTCTCTTTTTCCTCTACATTCTCAATAGTGCAGAGAGTGATCTTCTCAAAGTATAAATTAGATGACATCACTCCCTTACTTAAAACTCTCCAACAATGGACTTTGCATTTAGCATGAATCCAAACTCCTCTCCATGATCTGCAAAGCCCTGCCTCTCTTCTTTAAGTTTCTCTCAGAGGCCTTACTCCAGTCATCTCGTCCTGTTTCTTGATCCAGCTTTAGGGCCTGCACAGGAAAGTTAACACAAGCAGGCCTGAAGTTTACTACCATTAGAGGGACCACTTGCTGGGATGGCCTTTGAGTAACGTGTTCTCATTCAGAAAAATTTCAGTCTAGGCTCTCAGCTCCAAAAATTGCAATAAAACTTTACCACTGGCTAAACCACTGAACTGTTGTGGGGACAAGGCAAGTTAGGATAGCCAACTTCTATTTCTAACATAAATTCATGGAACTGATGATGATTAAGTCTATGAGGGCAAATGAAGTTAACTGTAGACTTCAATAAAAAATACTGAAGTTCAATAAATATGATAGAGTGAAGTATTTTCCACAAACTACCTGCTGATGAATAACACAATGAATAATCATAGGCTTTAAACACTTTAAATTTCACAAGCTTTGTAAACTTAACCAGCTATCCCTTTTTCTTCTCCAGCTCCACACATATTTTTTATCACTATCAGTTGTAATACATCTTAGCAGATTCTACTTCAGGTTGTACTGAATTAATGTTTTCTTAACTTCTTTGAAAATATTATCTTTTGCAGTTGTTCCATGGAGACTATTCATATAGTCTAATTCTTAAGTCACTTTAAATTTGGCACCGATTCCTCAAGTGAACAACTGGCAACATTTGTCAACCCATCGAGAGTCAAGGGAAACCATTCAAAATCACTTGTCTTTTGTCTTGCTTTTAATTGACTATTGACTTTGTTCCCAACATCCTTAACTCTTTTAGCAACAGTTTTTGCCAAAAAGCTAACAGTCTTAAACAAGTTTATTTTCTCTGGACACGTTTGCTGCAATCAAACATGATTTAATTAACTCTTAGTAAACAGCTTTTCTTGATTGGTTAACAAATGAGCCATTCAGAAACTTACTTTGATTGTAGCCTCATTTTATTTTTTATTTTTGTGAAGAAATTCTATTGTGACAAGATATTGTTGTAGATTTTCCTGATTGTTGCTGTTCTGTGAGTTGAGAATACTGTGATAGAGTTAAATGTGAAAATGCTGATGCATATTGTATTCTTTTAGCACAGCTATAATATCACTGCTTAATAAATACAATGTCTTACCATCTAATTTGATAACAATATAATCCATATTTCACTCTGCCTTAAGAGTATGATGTTCATAGTCCAATTCTTTTTTATTCCCTTTGTTTTCACGATAGAAATACATATTGGTGAAAAAACAAAAACTATTGTGTAATGGCACTCAATATACATAGCACTCAAAACCTGTCTAGTTATAACGGCACCCCTGAAACTTGTAGTGTGAAGTAGCAGTGCAAAGTGACGAGAGGGTCATATACAGTCTCTGTTGCAACTACTCAACTCTGCCATTGTAGCCAAGAAGCTTCCATAGATAATAAGTAACTGAGCGTGGCTGTGTCCCATAAAATTTGTCTATGGATACTGAAATTTCAGGTCATATAGCCTATGAGCTAAGTACAGTTTTTACTAATTTACATAGTTGGAAAAAATCAAAAGAAGACTAAAACTTCACAAAACATGAAAGTTATATAAACTTTTAGTCTTCTTTTGATTTTTTCCAACTATGTAAATTAGTAAAAACTGTACTTAGCTCATGGGCGGGACAAAAACAGATGGTGGGCCAGATTTGGCACAAGGGCTGCGGTTTGCCAACCCCTGATCTTGAGTGTAATCAAGAGAGTAAGGACCTTGTTGAACGAATTTGTAGTTTCAAATCACAAAATTATGCTTTACACTGGAGAATGGGAGGGAAATAGATACAAATAACAGAAATGTTTTCTTACCAAACTACTAATTCTTACTGTATTGTGTAAACTGAAAGTTGATTTGAAAAAGCCTAGTTATTATAATATCTAAAAACAATGAACACACATTGTTGTATTCATCTAATAGTTTTTAAATTCACAAAGGGAAGGTCAAAATCAATAGTTATTCTTAAATCTTTAAATTACCTGTTGATCTAATATGTACAATACTTGGGATAGTATATAAAATATAATTTTTAAATAAATTTTATTTTTAGGCAATAAAACTTATTGCTTCATATTTAAGATTAAGTTTTAATCCCACCTTCGCTCTTACCAGCTTATTTAATGTTGGCATGTTAATACCTGCCATGAAGAATTCTTGTGATGACCAAGTAGGTAATATATGTAAAGTGCTTAAAACAGTGTTGGGCACACTGAAAAGGTCAAAATATATTAGTTTTTAAAAAACTATTATTATTATAGATTAGGCTCAGTATCATAACATTAAAATGATGTATTCTTCATTTTTAAAAAATCCAAAACAGGTTCAAGTATCTTATTATTCTATAAAAATTTGGGCTATCATTACTAAACAATACGACTAAAACAGGAAATGATTAACTTTCCTTACCTGACATGTCTGCTGAATCACCTAAAATGGAAAAGTAGAAGAAAAATATAAACATAAACATTAAAAGTAAAATTTGTAAAATCTCAATTATCATAACATAGTGATAATTTTTAAATAATTTAAATAAAGTGTCATATACAAAATTAATTTTATGTGAAATTGAGTAAACTGTACGTGAAACCAATAATTTAAATTATACATACATATTAACATTCTATGTATATGACCTTTCAATTTTGTGTCAATACTTTATTTTCTTTGAATTTAATGAGTTACATGAAATTTTAACAACTTTAAAAATAATATTGACATGATTTAAATTGATATGACTCTCATTTTGGTTCACAAAATGAACTGTTAATAGACCCTTTAAGGTTATAATGCATCTCTACTTGAAGGGAAGAATCAGATCTAAACCTTCTGAGAGAAACGTTGGCAAAACTTACCATATAACTCAGGAAAGAAAAAGTTCTTAATTCAGGCCACAAATTAACCCCTTTCCTAATTTTTTCAAACCTAACATTTTCTGTAAGAGTAAAAGATTGCCAAGAAAGAAAACATGAAAGCCTCTGCTCGTTATATTTGTGGTGGAAATACCTATTAACAAAAATTTTGGAAGCAGGTATCTTTTTAGCAAGAGAGAAAGGAGTAAAACTTAGGAATCCTTTCAAGATAGATGATTGTTCTTTGCTTTGGTAGAGCCTTAGATCCCTATGAAATAATGATTTCAAGGATATACTGACAGTGTTCTGACATGGAATATGAGGGAATAAAGTAGCTGGCTCTGCTGAGCATACTACTCAGGAAATGCCACTTTTAGTTCTGAACATGCTCTGATAATAACCAAATGATGAGAGGACTTGAAACTATGCCACAGGAAGAATGGTTCAAAGACAGTGTGTTTTGTTTGGAGATCAGGCTTGTCCCTGGATATCTGCAGGACTTGGGACAAGAGTACAAATAAAGACCTAAACGTCACAGGTGTGAATATTTTCAAGTTATCAATCAAAATAAAATTATTAAATGTAGTATGTTTCATCTTCCTATCTTGACACGTACAACCCTATAATGACCTTGAAGGCCTGGTTCAAATTGTGAACTCCTTAGACTTGGGGCAGCATAAGAGCCCTGGCCTATCCCTGTCTCCCCGCCTCCCAGCTGTATCCCATACCACAGGGGCCATGGAAGCTCACGTGCAGCTATTCCAGCCTGTACATCAACACTCCATCACCACCTTCCCAGTGCGCAGCTGCCCCTTGGCTGTACCTCAGGGGGGCTCATATTGGCTGTGCCATCTGCCATTAGGAGCACGGACTCAGAGAAGAAGCTCAAGCAGACCCACAAACAGGTTTAGGACCATTTAATGGAGAATTCTGGGATTTCAGCTACCCAGAGCATAGTCCAAAGGGGAGGTAAGTTTCCCCATGGAAAGTGATCCCACTGCTCTCATGCACTCTTTGTCTCATGAAACGTGGTTGCAGGATGTCTAAAGTGGGCCTTCCAAAGGGGAACCCAGATGAGATTCAGGGAGAACATGACAGTTTTCTCCAAATACTGGAAGATGATGTCATGGGAGTAAGAGAATAACTGTTCTAGGTGACCGAGGAATGAACACCAATGAGCTGCAATTAAAGAGAGACAGATTTCTGTTCTATGTGAAGATGTTGTTTATAACAGAGCTTCCCAAGCAGCAATTACACTACTTCATTAGGTATTAAGTGATGATAGGGTTCAAGTACATGGAGAAGGATGTTCTAGAAGAGATTCAAACATGTAATGATAGACTGGGTAAAACGATATATTTGGCTCTGAGATTCTTAGATTGTAGCCAAGAAAAAAAGAAATATTTGAATGTAATTGGCTAAAATACCACCAAAGCAGATATTTCAATTCTTCTATGATCTATGTGATTTTTAATAGACAGAACCAGTGTTAGGCAGTGTTCTGTGCTTTGCGGGTATAAACAAGCTTGGCAGGCAAAGTAACTACTGACTGAATTCTCTTTAGGTTCAGAAGAGAGAACGCCCCTCACTCTTTGGTCTTTTCTGGAATCTATCTTACACTTAATTAGTCATCAGCAAGGAATATTTCTCTGTTTTGTGACAGGTACATGTAGGGCAAGGCAAACAGAACCTAAAATTCACCTCTGGAATGCCTGGACTTTGACTTGGAAGGAGAGGAGGTAGATAATCAGCCATTCCACATTCCCTACAGTGTTCCCTTTCAAATAAAAGAGTACAAATATAGGATCATTATGTTGTATACCTGAAAACTAATACCGGGGGTGCCAAAAAAAATGTATAGACATGACTTGTATTCATCTTTTGTTATTGGTAATATATTATTACAATTTTAATGCAGTTTTTTCCTTTCTTAAAATGTGTGTACATTCTTTTGGGCACCCTCTATATAGTGTTATGTGTCAATTATATCTCAATTTAAAAATAGGAAAAGAAGTGGAGGAGTCAAATTTAATGAAAAATTAATTTGTGACCACATTTCTTAATCAAAAGAGAAAACTACAGTCTATGTTAAAGTTGCTTAACAGAGGGCGAGACGGGGAAAGAAAAGGAGAAGGAATGAAGCTGGGAAATAAAGAGCCACACCTTCTAGAACTTTATTCACAGAACGTAAATTCCATTAGAATAGAGACGCGGGGGTTTTGTAAGCTGCTTGTACCCACAGCACCTAGAACAATACTTTGCGCATGATAGGTGCTCAATAATTTTGTTGAATAAATAAATTTACTCAATAAAAATTAACTGAGCAATAAACAAATAAGTACATGCCGAGAGGTACTTTCATGACCAAAATGGTCATAACATGGTTTCTCATTCCGCATGCAGAACGAAAATAAGACTTCAATTTCAAAACACTTAGCACAAAGGGGGGCTAGATGTATGTATTTATACACAAAGATTAGAATATTTTATATGTAATGAGTGAAGTATGGGTCTACTTTCTTTTTAAAAGTAGAAAACTTTACATAAAGGAATACAAGGTTCTTTGTGGCATAACTGTAGAAGTAAGCAGCCCACAGAAAAGTACCTAACTGATCAGTTTAGTACGTATATGAAAATAAAGATATTAAAAGCATCAATTATCTTATTTAAGAGGAATAAGACCGATGGGAAGCTGGCTTAGCCAGTGAGGCCCACTGAGATCCAACAAGCCCCATGATTTCAATCACTTTTAAAAACTCGCCCAGAGGTGTGCCGCTCTGACAGACCAAACCTACTCTGTGGTGTTCAGTGATCCCTGACTGCTCGGTAAAGCCTAGACAGACCTGCTATCCTCTTTATGTCGCCTGTAGAATTATGGCCTTTAAGTTTTCTACAGTTAAAAAAGTCAGCACTACAGGTGACTTCAAAGCAGTTGGTAAATTAGATCCATTCCAAGAAAAGAAAGGCAGGGAGGCTTTAGTACATAGAGCCTCTCTCTCCTGCTGGCTTCTCTCTCCAGATGCAGATGTCCTGCCCCTCAGTCCAGGCATCTCCTGGCTCCCTTATTTTACCATGTCCTCCTCAAATTCTTCCTCTCTGCTTTATATGTTATTAAACCTTTTTGCTCATCAGAAATTTCTGCTAAGGACTAAGCCCAACTCTTTCAATCACCATTTAATACCTTATTCTTAATTCTGAACTGTCTGAAACAACTCAGATAACCAACGTGAGAGAAAGATACCTGGAAACAAATAATATAGTAAAAATGGTTGTGTGCTTTACGTGCAAATACATTTCGAACAATATACAAATATATGTTAATTTTCCCCTAGGATACTGAATTAACTTAAACAAGAATATTACTTAAAACTTTCTTTTTACAATATAGAAACATACCTACTTGGCCAGTTGCCACTATGTTGATAAATTTGGGGTGCTGATTTACAGTGAGGCACAGAATGTCATCATTGTGTTCCTGATAAAAACTCTGAGTCCCTATAAAAGAAGAATTTGAGAATTAAATTTGAAAATATTACAGTATAACAGCCAAATGCACTTATCCAGAGCAATAAACTGCTCTAACTTACTTGCTTATTTAACATAATTTTTGAGCACTTAATATGTGCCCATCATCATAAGGATGGAAAAATGACTCAGAAACTTTTAAAGGGATCGAGCCCTGAAAGACATAACCAATGTGATACAAGGCTGAAGACAGCAAGTGCCATGAGAGAGTTAAAGATCAAAATGCGATGGGAATTCATAGCGGAAAAGAGTCTTCTTATCCGGGGCATATGTATTCCTGCACTGACACGGCAGATTCTGTAAATGTGAAGATGGGTGGGGAAGGGCACTCCAGGTAGAAGAGTACTTTAAGCAAAGGTACAAAGGCAGGAAAGCATACAGGGTATAAAGGCAGGGTATGTATACAAATGCTGAAGTGTAGGGTCATGAAGAAGAAAAGTGAGAAATACGGTTGAAAGGCAATTTGGAACTAGAATTATAGAGGATTTTGAATGCCAGCCTATTAAATTTCATATTTATTCTGTAGTCAGTGGGAAGTACAGAAGAATTTTGATTAAAGCAGTCATGTGATTTATCTGGTAGTCGTGACAGTGAAAAAACCTTCGCAGAGACTGTGGCTCTACAGGAGGTAATAAAGGCAGGCTTGTGCGAGTAAACCAGAGAGGTGGGAAATGAGATCAGGATGGCAGGTTGGGTCCAGAGTGTATTTTCCCACCTGATTGAATCAAACAAGGTATCATCAGTAGAGCCACAGGCAAGCAGCTTTCATAGCTAACTTCCTCAGCTTTCCAAAGCCTCAGTAAGAACACCATCACTTCATCCCCACCCCACAGCAATCAATGCTCCCAACATGCTACTTTCAGTCACTAACTATCAGAGACAACCATCCAAGCCTACTCATTTTCATGTTAAGGGTATGGGGAATGGTTTCACTATAAAACATGCTTTCAACACACAATAAACCTTCACTTCTAATAGAGACCTATGAGCATTGTGCATTATGAAATTCTCTTCTGTTGTGTTAAATTCTGTTCAGACTGTAAATCTGCTTATTTGAAATATTACTAGAAAGTTCTACAGTATGAAAAATTCATGTTCTGGGCTCATCCATTTTAATTATTTATATTTTTAACAAAGAATTTTAAGATGCTAAATAAAAACTCCTAAATTACAAAAAGTAGGGGATGGAGAATCAGGGTGTCCTACCTGTAGCAACATTGTGCAGAATCCCAATGGATGCAGTATGATAAATTATATCGTCACCATCATTTAAATAGTGAGCATTATTCCTACAGTCTCTGCCTCGATAGCCAAAAACGAGCTCCAACACAAGGTCCTATAACAATGATAAAACCATTACACAATTCCTCATATCTAAATGTTCGCCATTCTTTGTTGTATACAGTCCTGGGGTCCTCAGTTAAAACACAGGATGAGTTTTTGATTTTACAAACTGCAAACACAAAATTAAGCTAGACATACTTCTCTATATAACCTGTTTTGGATGGCTGAAACACACTTCCGTGCTTTTCTACGTAAAGTTATAAAAATAAAGAGAGAATCACAAGGTCACCTGATTCCAAGAATTTTAGTTCTTAAGATTACATGTGTTCAAATAAACATTGGGATACTTTTTTGCCTAAAAGAAGAACATTTCCACTGGTTCTCAAATACCTGTTAAAATACCTGATCTGCTTACATAACTCAGTATAAATTATGTCCGAGTGATGTACTTTTAAGTATTCAAATGGCACATCAATACTGGTGCACAAAATGAAGCATAACCATCCCTGATAACTCATGCTCAAGTTCCAGCAGATAATTGTGCCACTGAACGTGTCCACCAGTTTTTGACCTTTGAGGCTGAGCGGGGTAGGAAGTACAACAATCACCCTCTCACAGCCTTAACACCTTGTTTTTGGCCCGATTTAGCAGAGTTTGCTTGTTGCTGCTGATACTGGGCTTATTAAATGCCTGGAGAACTTTCCTTCTTATTCAATTACTAGGGAATGTTTCTTTGCTTGGAACCAGAGCCTTCATTGAACCCTAAAGTGAATACACTACATGGGGTAAAACTTCCTGATTTGGCATAAGTATTAAATCTTTAACTTATAAATTCAAACCACTAAACATAAGACATTGCCAAGGTGCCTGTGCTTCTGTAAGCCATTAATCATTCACATATATTTACATTTAGAAGTTCACTGAGATACAGTTCAATTCAGGATATTATTCATGCAAAACTAAAAAGAATAATAAGATTAAAAGAAACAGGATATCAATCTAAAACTCAGACTTGACAGTTAAGCAATCAATTTTACAACCAAACAAAAAAGATTATTCAATGTTTATTTTCATAAAAACTAATGACAAGATTTCAGTATTTTACATAAAAGAAATTGAATGAACTCTGAATGCATTTTAAAGTACAAGTTAAGACTAGAGAATGGATTTTCCTCACCTCTATCGGTCTCTTTTTCTTGCCAACATTGTTGGTCTGGAGTTTCTCTGGCTGTGGCGGGGCCCTGCTTACGGGAGGCCTGAAACGGGAAAGTGGGAATGAGGAAAGGCACCCGTCACAGGCACCTTCACTGAGCCTCCCTCACCTGCCCCCAGAGACAGATGTCTGATACATCGTCATAAAAATGAATCCAATCTGTGTTGTTCACTAGACTGTGCCCTCTGTATCTTGATATTTTCTAAAGCACAAAGGTGGAAAGAAAATATTAGGCCTATTATTCACTTTTAAATTGTTTTGGCGTATATTTCATAATATAAATACTGTAATAGTACAAGAGCAAACTGCTTATAAAAAATACACAAATGTTCGTTTTACATACTCAAAAACTTCCTGATGGGGGTGCATTATCGACAAAGCCTGGATTACTGCTCCAAAGTATCTACCACAGTATCTTGCATAGGGCAGGTACTCAATACATTTTTTTGAACTGAATTTTGAAAATATTTCTATAAACTTTCTATACTGTTGGCAACAAAAATCATGCCTGAGTTCAAATATGTACTCGTCATCTGCTCCTCCATGCCCTTGACCTTCTCTTCTTCCTGAAGTCCCTAGTGTGGTTATGGTATCACCATCAGTTAGTCAAGCAAGACGTTTTTACAGTTGCAAAGCACTGTACACCATATAACGTTCTAGAAAAGGTGATTACTATTACTATTGCTTCCAACTCCTTCTCTTCCCTTAGCCTCACTACTTATTAAACATTCAACAACAACTTTACTTACATAGTAGCTCTCAAATCTAGCCCCCTCTTCTCTGTTTCCACTACTAATTCAGGATCTATTTATAATGTCCCATTAGATGTGTAGCATTCTCATTTTGAATCATCTGAATATGGAAGCTTTTCCCTAAAATGCTTTGCTTAGTATTTTTAAATGTCTACATCATTTAATTTTAACTCAGATAACCATTATTTGAATGTTTAATAACCTGACCACTGAATCTAAATCAATCACGTATCAACTCCGCCCTCCAAATTTTAAGCTAATATTCAATTTGTAACAACTAAATCTGGAAATGATACAAATTAGCTTTCCTGTGAAAAAGTTCCAACAATTTTAAGTCCACAAAAATAAAGGCATAACAATATATTTGTATTTTCAAAATGATTTTCAAGTTATTTCTATATAAAAAGTAAATGAAGTATTATATCTTGAACATGTAATATAAAAGATATGTGTACTTTCATACGTAACATGAAGCAGCATATAGAAGTATATAGCATAACTAATTGGTGGCATAAATATTAAATGCACTTACAAGACTTATATAAAGAACTCAAATTATTACAAAAATTTTGATTTCAAACCTTTTTCATATACTTTTTTGAATGTCTGTAAATAATAAATATAACTGAATTTACAATATTTAACACAAAAATATTTCTCCTAGGATCATTTTAGAGAATGATAGCAGCCTTGGCTTTTCTTCCAAGTCATTTTGTTGAACTTTATTCAACATTATTGTCTGACAGTTTCAAGAAACAGGTAATTTTTATCTACATGATCCTGTGTAACAATTACATATATTTTAATTTTTATAAAGATAATTCATATAAGATATATTATTGCTTAAAATTACACAACTTGTAAAATTATATAAGTTAAATGCATCAAGTTTTAGAAAAGCAGTAACTTATGTAATGTAAATCCAATAATTAAGATGCTATTTCAGGAATACTCATTTCAAAGGAGAGAAACGTGAAAAACTGTGAACAGAGGTCAAGAACACCAAGTAATGTAGCTCATTAATGGGAAATATAAAAGAAGATAAAAATACAAAATTAGGCCTCATAAAGCATAGCAAAGAAAGAGGATTACCTGGAACCTCTTTTCAGCAGCAGATAAAAAAGGGAAAAGATTACAACACAAATTTGAATTTAAAACACTAGTAAAATACTTCCTGTAATAAAATACATTTACAAGTTTAATGCGGATAAATGATACTGCATATATTAAAGGCCTGTTGTTTTTATTTATTACTGCATATAAGAAAAGGCTTAAGTTACTCCATTAATGGCTGGGAAATCGGAAGAAAGAAGGTAAAAAGGAAAAGTAAGGGAGAATTCAACATGTTCTATGTTGCAAACATTCTTCTTTTTCTGCCTAATATTTGAGTTTCTGCACAATCTGGCCTCAAATCTACTTTTTTCATTCTGATTCTCCAGCATTTTCCTAATGATCACTTTTTTTTTAAACTTTTTTATTTTTACTTCTAAAATAGACTAGCTTTTCCCACATTGTTCTGTTTCAGAAACTGAAGACATTTTCATCTCACTAAAAGTAGCTATAAATGTACTCCAAAGAGTCTTTTCTTACACATATCATTTTATTAAACATACAAATACCATCACTGCCCTATGTTAATGTTTTTAAATTAATGGATATATTAAACATGCATTAAATGAAGCTTATCCATTAAGAAACTGAGAGTTTTTTCACTGATAAAAATGTATGGTTAACAGTTTGTTTTTATGAGCCTCTGAAACTTAAGGAAAAACTAAAACTATCTTGAGCATAGGAGTTTGTGAAAAATCATCTGTAAAACCAATGATCATAATAAAGATCCTCATAACAACACCCACATATTGTATCTACAAAGCGCAACTCTTTTGTAGGATTTGTCCTATTTCATTTTCTGATCCTTTCTTAACAAATGTAGTTTAATGTCTTATGGGAAAAAATCAATAACTTAAAATACTATAAAGACCAAAATAAATGAGTAAATTTTTGAGTATTTTCCTTAATAAAATACTTACCTTACTACCCCCTGCCTTCAAAGGGAGCAAGAAGAAAAAAGGAAAAAAAATAAAAATTGATGATGAATAGTAAACAGAATAAATGCAACATGACAACAGAATTCTAAAGAAATACAAAAATGCCTAATTTTGTATTTCATCAGTTTTAATATTTTTATTCAAAAATATTGGAAATTTGATTGACAATAAACTACTTTAAATACATAAGATTTGCTTCACAAATATTTATAGAAAAACAACAATATAAGTCATTTAGAAAAAAAGACCCCACGAAAATATCAACCAAGTAAAGTAGTTATCAGATTGTCATAAGAAACATTTTTCTTTTAAGTGGATAAGATATTTGATAAGCATTTGTTTTAACTGTTCATAAAGTGTTTCATATTTGATGGCAATATTTTATTTAAAATATGAAAACAATTAGTTATCCAGAACATTTTCTCTCCTTAGAAATATATTCAAAGTTGGTAAAAAAAAATTATCTCTTCATTTTTATTTCCTTTAATTTTTTCATTTTATGAAAATGAAGACTCCTAACTATGAATCACATTACTGGCTGCTTCTGCCTCGGCATTTTCAGAAGAATTTAGTAGAGTTGAATCATAAAATAATTTGAGAACAATGTGCGAAATAATTCAAAAATAATTTTTAAAAGATTAGCTGTAAAAAAATGCAAGCTAACAGCAAAGATCACGATTGTGACAATGTCAACCATTCTTCATGAGCAGCAAAATGTTTCTGTCAGAACTTGGGTCACTTCAACAATGAGGCAGAAAACTTTAGTATTTTCCCATGAAAAATGACCTACAGATTAAAATTAGGTCACATTTTCTGACATATTTAATTTATTTGATAATTGGTAATAATTTTCTTTTAAAAAACCAATCCAATAAATGAAAAGGATTTACAGGAATGCCTGGAGTTCCTTCTTCCCTTTAATACACTATTCATTTTTCATGACCTGTGAGATATAATTTCCTTTAAGTAATATTAAGCACTATATTGCAAAAATTCTAATTAGGAACACCCATATTTGCATATTTCACTGTATGACTTTAATTACTAAGTATATAAGTAGTGTTTATTACTTTGTGAATATTTAATTTCAGAAAGTGTTTCAGTATTAACCAGGGCATCTCCTCAGGCTACTCTGTATTTCATTTCAAGGGAGGGGTGTCACTGGTGAAGACCTACTATCCAAATTCTTTATATACATTATTTCATTTAAGCCTTGAAATACTCCATAAGTTACAGATTATCATTATCATTTTACCTCTAAGGAAACTAAGGCTCAAAGAAAACGAATAGTTTTTCAAGGTCACACAGCAGGCAAATGATAAAACTGAATATTTTAATCCATTTGTCTGAGTCCAAAAGCCATGCCCTTTGCATTGTATGATACTGCCTCCTACCAAGTTACTTCAACCTCGAATCCTGTGTAAGTACAGTAATACCTTGGTTTGCAAGCCTAAAGCGTTCCGGAAACAAACTACTCATATTGCAAGACATCACTCGTTTACCATGTTAAAATGTATTAGAAATGTTTGCTTGTCTTGCAGTCTTGGGGAACACTCGCAAACCACGTTACTCGCAATCCAAGATTTTACTGTATTTAATAGATGATAGTATGGTCAGCTTTCTCGAAACATCTCTAACTTACTACTTTGCCTTTTTATACATGAGGACAAAACTGATTACCACCCTCTACCCACTTCCCGTAAGGTGAGCCTCCACTGCTATTATCTGAGGCACACCATCTGCCAATGGGGCACCTCAACATTCCACCCAGAACTTCCCTGGGAACTTAGGGGTAGTCAGTTCAACAGAATCTCTAGTTGCTCCTCCCCACATCACTATCTGGCATTTCATCCTTCCAATTTCATCCTTTCCTCTGAATATTAAGCTCATAGGTGCAAACTCAAATCCCTCTGCTGATGCTTTCCTGTGATATCATTTCTTTCTAGCTGAGCTCCAATGCTCTAATTTAGCACTACCCTCACCAACTATACATTCACTTGAATTTTCCACAAATTCTGTTTAATGCCAATGCATTCCCTTTCTTTTTTTAGCTCTCCCTCAAATATTCTTACTAACTTCTCATAATCAAGTTCTCATCACAGCTTTCTACAGAAGAGGTCACTGTTGTTTTCACCTCCCTCTCCCTCTATGTTCCTCGCTGTTGTTTCTGGATAATTTTTCCTTTATTATTGGGTTGTTGGAAAAGTCATGACACATTTTTGCAGCAAAAAACATAGAAAAAATACGTCATGACTTTTCCGACAACCCAATATTTCTTAAAACCTCTTTGCTTCTGAAATCCATGCCATTCACTGATCCATATGCCACTTGTTTTCTGACTTCCCTGATGAGTTTAAGAGCATCAGTTTCAAAATTTCTCTCTTGATTTATCATCTAGCTCAGAGACTTTTTAAAAAAGCTATTTCTCCTCATAAAATTGCTATGTACATGTCCTTATTTTTTATTTGCTTTTTCTAGACAAAGACCAATAATTCCAATTAAATAGAAACTATACTTCAACTTGCCTTTTTGGAAAATTTTAAAATAATGATTTTCTATCCCTGATTCAAAGCACATAACTAAAAAGGCCTTCTCAAAATTTAATCACATCTCTGCTAATATTCTTTCTAAAAAGTACTTGGTATTGGATTCAATTTTTTATTATCTCCCCAACCTCATTGCATATATTTATAAAAGTTAGCAAATAAGATTCCTTTTATCACACACACTTTATATATATAGCATCACTCCCTAAACCTACTTATAAAAGACAGTGTCACCACCAAAAAATATTTAAGGACAAATATGTTTTCTAAGATGTGCTAAGGATTGTATAATGCAGGAGTTCCGCTGTCACTTAGCTTTTGCAAAAATTCATCCAGTTAAAAAATAAATTCAAAATTTCATACCAATATCTTTTCATCTAGTTTTAAATGTGATTGTTACCTCTCATCAATTGAGGGTTCTTTTTGTTGCAGATGAGGCTTGATCCCAAACATTGGACGGATATTTGTTGATAAGGCTCTGATGGTGTAAGTGATTTCATTCTCCCTTGTAACATCACTGTCATAGCCTATCATTAAAATATAAGAATTATCCTCTAAGTGACAACTGAAGAGACCAATTATGATCTTATAATTTGGATACAAGGATGTTCAACTATGTGAAATAAATTAAACTGTATGGTAGCCAAATTATGAAATAATATACAGCCACTAAAAATGATGTAGAAGAATACTTAACAATATGTAACGATGTTTTCGAAGTATTACTAAGTGATAATAGCAGGCTACAAAAAAGTTCAATAGGATATCATTTTTGTTAAAAACATACTATGTGTTAATATATAAATGTACTACCCTTATTAATATACCTTAAAATGTTAACAGAGGTTGCTTCTGAGTGGTCAAATTATGGATGCCGTGTTTATTTTTTTACTGCAAAATGTATTTTCTAATTTTTCTATAATGAGCTGCTATTACTGGTATATTAGGAAAAAGTCAAAATTATTTTAAAATATGAAGTTCGATGCTACAAATTTATTTTAACAGTACTTAAGTATGATTACCTTACATTTATAGATAAAGAATATCTAAAACATGACAGTCTCTTATTTTGAGTCACAAAACTAATTTTAGTGTTAAAGAGGGCAAACAGACTAAAACTACAGCTACTCAAACATTATTATTACTTGTTTCAACTTCTGCAGTTTAAATCAGTTGTACTAATTTTTTCTGTCTTAATTGAAATAAGATATTGTAAAATGACATACCACCATCTTCTTCAGAATCTATATCAGATTCTTCACTATCACAAGGCCTTTTTTCTCGATAGCCCTCCATTTCATTTGTCCATACCATTAAAGACATATCCGCACCTCCTAAGGTAACCAACATGCTGTCATCATAAGTCCAGCGAACATTTGTGACATGTGTACTATGAGCCACATACTTCTTAAACCTTCCAAATTTTCCCTAAAGGTGAAAAAAAAAGAGTCAGTTTTTCTGAGAAATTTCATTACTTGAAAATTTTCAATTATAATTTGGAATTTCTTTCTTAATGCAGTGTATATGATTATAAACTAAGAACTGGAACTCATAAAAAAATGAGAAAATACTGAAATTCACTAGAATAAAAAATAACAATTTCCAAGATGGTGAGGACAGAACACAACTACTAGTTTCACACATTGCTAGTACCATGGACATTTTTTAAATATCAACTTGGTATTCTGCGTTAAAAGCATAAAAATGTTTTGACCTTTGATTCACCAACCCACCTTCTAGACATCTATGCTAAAAGATGCTATGTGTACAAAAAAAAATTTACCACAGTATTTACTTATAGCAGTGAAAAATCTTAAATACCTCAAATGTTCATAACAGTAATTCTAGTTAATTACAGTGTATATCTATGAAATAGTATATATCTATTAAAAATGATGTCTATGCAGACATATTATTGTTGGAAATAGACATAATAACTTAAAAAGTCAGAATATAAATATCTGTATACAGCATGGCCGTATTAACAAGTAATTATCAATCATTTTGGTATATACCAATGTAAATATCTTTTACCTTAATTCATTAGTGTTTTCTGTTTATAAGCAACACACATGGGAATGTATTTTTCTTTTAAATATCAAGAAAAATCTAAATTACAGATACTGGCAACTGTTAGATCTAGGACACTAGCATTACCAACTTACAGAAGTAAATTTCAGGTTAATGTTATCATAAGCAGGTTTTAGATGGACATCTTTTCAAGGATGTTAAAATAAGAACTGTCTTAAATATACAAACATAATGCTAGCTAAATCAGTGAATTCTCTGGGAATAAAGACTCTTAGTAAAAGTTAGCTGAAATAAGAGGGGGATCTGTCAACAAAATACTGCAAGAAGATAGTTTCCCTAAGATTTTGTGGTTCTTGCTACAGTGAGGTGAAGAAGGAATCTATAGACCAATACCCTAGAACGTATTCTTAGGGCTTCTTGGCCATCTACAATGCTGGAAGTGAAGTTTCTGACCAAGAAATGTTTTATTGGAACACATGCTTATCACTAAAGTTCTACCACTTAAATGTATCTAACACAGGAACCTGTGGAATATTTTCTTGGGCACCTAGTTCTCTATGAGAATTTTTAAAGCTGTTTTCATTTCAATGATGATCTAAAAATAGTAATATGAGCAATTACTTAAGACCATCATGAACTGAATCTCATATATGATTTTAGTGCCCTATTTCAAATTTATGTTTATGCTCATGTTGGTGCCAAATTATAATATATATCTGAATTTGTGACAATTAAGAAATAAATGCATCTGGACTTGATACATAAATTTTATCTTGTGCCAAGTGAAAGCCAAATGTTTCCCAGTAGTTTGAGTAGAGTAACACAGTAAGGGAACTGAGTCATCACACGGTAGCATAGGCATCTAGTGCTCCAAAGAATCAGTACAGTTTGGTTTTAGCAAAATAACATCATTCATCCTATGAAATCAATGTTATTTTTTTAAATTTTGTTGGTATTGTATTTATAGTATTTTGTATTTATTGGTTAAAACATATTAAACTTTAAAGCTGTATAAAGTATATGGTATATTTATTCAAAATATACTAAAATTATTTAAGTTAATATTGGGAATAAAAGAAATATTTCCTCTAAAAAGGATATGTACATTATTCAATATCCAGAAGTATTGTACAATATAACATATAACTTAAGGCATAGAATCATAAATTACAATACTTCTAGATAAAAGTCATAAATATGATATCAACAATAGGAAACATAATTGTGACCCTTTCATATTACAACATTATATATTACCTATGTAACATTCATATTACAACAATGAAATGCCATTACCTTAACCATTTTTATAATTATAATTACTAGGAGAGTTCAAGAAAAACACATACTTTAGCAGGATATCTAAATAACTTCACAAATCCCAAATCATCCCCAGTCGCCAGAATCATTTTGTTGCTAGTGAGGCAAGAGGCAGTTACATCTGTGACTTCTCCAATTATTGGCCAAATTCCCTCACAGCATAAACCAAGCACACTTGTCCATGATGCCCAACCAATTTTTTCTACCTAAAAAGGAAAAACAATGTGATAAGTTTGTAATATCTAAACCTAAAATTAACAACCAAATCTGAATATTTTTCTTTGTAATTATATGTGTCACAAGTAAAATTAAAAATTTAATATAAAAGTTATTATTTGCCTTGGTTTTATAGCTTCCCAAGTTCACTAGTTCACGCAGAAAAATTTTAACATTATTCAAGATGTACTTATAGATAGATCCACTGTGTGTTTTAGATACTGAACATATAGTGATAAGAAATAAACCCATTTCTGCTCTTTGAATAATCAAGAAACTTATTCTTACACTTCACATCTAAATTTCTACTAAGACATTACCAGCATGTTTTCCAATTAATCATTATTGGAAAGTAAGCACTTTTATTTACAGTCCTTATTAAGCCACTTTCATGTTAAATTTGTTTAGCCTCTCTTCCTCGGCCATGTCATGTTAAAAAATTTTTGCTAATATTGTCAGGCACAAAAACTGAACATATTTTTTCTTTTCTTTTTCTTTAAACAGGAATTTGCCTACAAGCATTTTAGGCATATGGGTTCCAAAATATTTGGCAGACATGCAGTCCTCCAACCTTAGATGTCTTGTCTTCTATTTGCTTATTGCATGTTCTTGTCCTTTGAGAAAAGTAATTAGAGCATAGCTAGACAATACAAGCGACTTATTCCTAATCTTTTTTTTTTTTTTTAAGATTTTATTGAGGAATTGGGGGAGGGGAACAGACAAGTTGCTGTCCTTTTGTTCTTCAGTCTACTTGTGGAGGACGTTGCTTCACTGGCCCATGTTGGTATTATCATTGCACTCTTCTTGGGTGAGGCAGATTGGTCACCGGCCACTGGATGGCCACTCATGGTGGCTCTTGGCAGCTCATGCTGGCTGCCAGCCGCTCATGCCCACTGCCAGCCACTCACGGTAGCTCATGGCAGCCCACTGCAGCCTACGCCATTGCTGGCAACTCACGGCAGCCCAGCTCCAGGTCGAGCTGTTGTTCACCATCTTAGCTGTAGAGGGCAGTGTCGCTAGCCCTCATGTGAGATCCGAAACGGGGCCCTGCTGCTCAGAGCTGGCGTCCCAAGCCAACTTTTAACCAATGTGCCACTCGGCCGGCCCAACTTATTCCTAATCTTAATACACCATCTCTTCCTTTACCCATCTATGTAGTCTCATCCAGTAAAATAAACTCACAAAAAGAATATCCATAATTTGAATAATCTGAGAACAGCCTTCATGTGTAACTAAATGGTGGGAGGTAAGTATCAGTTTTCTAACCACTTTTAGTCATATCAGTAGTACAAGCACTACTATCTTCCTACCTCCACACTCGGGATGATTTGTCTTTTCCCTCTGGGAGCCTCAAAGAATAACTGTTCTTTAGCACCAGTGTTGACTTGTAAAAGCTTTCCTTAAAAAGAAGTTAAAAATATATATATGTATACAATCTTATATTTATAATTTTAATATTTTATAATCTTAAAATAGAGACCATTCTAAGCATAACATGAAACTACAGAGAACACAATTTAATATAATTTTACAACTTTCCTCTGCAGTCAACATAGGTTTTTAAGAGCATTTGATTTTCTTAATCTCCATATAATTAATTAAATTAATAAGTGGTTTAATTTTTGTACACACACACACACACACACACACACACACTATTTCTGTTGTTATGCATATAAAAAAACCCCTAGAAACAAGTTTTGGGACTTTTTTAAAAAGGCACATTTTGTTTAATTATATTTGGAAAAACTTAATTTACAATACTAGATTTATATAAATACATGAAACAAAAATCCTTGAAAATGGAGCATTTAAAATATTTAGCATTTATGGAAACATAAAACACTGTCATATGTCATTCATTCTCTCAAAAATCAAAGACACTCATTAAATTCTGTATGTTATACAATTATGACTATTTTTAGAGAATGTATTTTATATCAAATGATGATGAAACAACTTTAAACCTCATTAACATATCTATTTTCCAAATTTTTCAGTTACTATTTATGTCAGGCTTATCTGACAAAAACCAGGACAAATGATTGAAAAAAATTTTTGTGTAATATTTAAACTACTACAGTAAATTAAAGAATTTATCACTTACTGTACTGTCATGTGAATTACACTAGAAGTAATGAAAAGTCTAAACTCATAGCTTTCATCTTCAGATGTGAAAAAAAGTAGAAAATAATTTTGAGAATAATCTCTGAATTACTTTTTGTTTCTCTAAAATACCTATACTAAGTCAAATTAAACTTTTATCAAACAGTAAGTAATTTAAATTCTTACCTCTAATATCCCAATCGATATGGGTTATGTAACTCGTAGCGCCTTTGCATATGCCTACTCTTTTACTACTCATTACGTTGTAAATGTCTATAAAGCTGTCATGGGATGCTACTGCAAGATATTTCCCAGAACCTATAATTGAAACATATTTTATTGACATTTTCTACATTTTGGAATATTTTTTCCCCGTACAACTGGAGTTAACTTTCTTAATATTTTTTGGGAGGAACTCTTAGGTGTTTTGTAAGTTACAACAAGATATATGTCAAATAGCAGATAGTGACATTTTTCAAGTATAATTAACAAAATGAAATATTTTTTTGTGTAGTGAAGTGGTTCAGTGGAAAGCAAATATTAAAAATTATACACAATGTAATTTTGATACATTTAGCATTAACCAAAAAAAAAACCTTCTAAATTTAGAAAAAATGAAAGTAAATCTACACAGCTAAATTTTGCCTTAACATTTGTAACTCCTACATTACAGTAGGTTTTGTTGTAGATAATGAATACATGGAAATTGATGAAACAATTAATGTAATTTCAAAAGCCTTAGGAATATAATGAAGACAGTCCATACAATCCCTTTTATGTCACAAATGTAGAAACTGAAGCTCAGAGAAGAGCCCTGGCCCAAGTCACAGAAAATTTAGTGACAGAATTGGCACTGAAGATATTTTGCCACTGATCTAATACAGGGCTTTTATCTCTCATCATACTGACTCTTGTAGTCAAAAAGTAAAATTCTGAGATAAAATAACAGTTAATAAAAATTATACATTGATATATTTACTCATTGCCAGATCCAAGCTAATAATCAAATGTAATTTTAGTGGAATCCTACCTGGTGAGAATCGAATATCTGAAATAATATCTTTTCTGTGGTGAAAAGATACAAGATCCTCTAGAGTATCTGCGTTTGCCATTAAGAAACTTCCATCACTGAGACCCACAGCTAAAGCTTTACCATCAGGAGAGAAACAGCAGCATCGTCCGCCTAAAAGAGAAAGACAGCATGTGTCAGATTTTCTTTTACCAAAAAAATTTAAAAAAAAAAGTGAGTGCTTAAAGAATCTTTAATTTCAAAGAGGATACCTATATTATTGTGACTTTAAATCAATATTATAAAGGAGTCAAGGGATCCAGATAATAAAGTTTTCTATCAAAATCAGTGGTATGGAATTCTAAACAATAATTAATACAAACCATTCCCTATTCTGATAGTAACAAAAGCGAGAATTGATATTTACCTTAAAAGAAAGTTGATGAAAAAGAATGAGAGATTTTTAACTAACATAAAAAGCCAACAACATATGGGGAATTTCTTTTTAGGGGGTGGGTTGCTACCTTTGTAGTTTCTATCAAAAGTTTAAGAAATATGGGCAGCTGGTTAGCTCAGATGGTTAGAGCACAGGCTCATAACACCAGGGTTGCCAGTTCGATTCCCACATAGGCCAGTGAGCTGCACCCTCCACAACAGATTGAAGACAGCTACTTGACTTGGAGCTGATGGGTCCTGGAAAAACACACTGTTCCCCAATAAAATTTCTTAAAAAAAAAAAAGAAAACCTCACATGAAGAGATAATGATGTTAACATTAATTTTAAAAAGCAGGAGTTAATGCTGCATTCACATACGCAAAAAAATGGGCTTACCCTAATAACAAGGGATGTAGCAGGCATATTAAAAACCCAAAGGCTTTTGCTGCTTGCATAACATTTGGAGAGGGCGAGATGAGTACAGCTGTTCCAGAATGAATTAAGAACTGGTCATTTCATTATCAAGCATCCATTGATAATGAAGAAATCTAGGATATGATTTCTGAGATTTAAGAGTCAAGAGATGACGATGACCCGGAGTAGGCTGGCAGCAGTGAAGGTGATGTGAAATGGCAGGGTTTGAATATATTTTGAAGATAAAGCTGGCAACACTTTGACAAACTGGGAGTGGAGTAAGAGAAAAAGATAAAAGTCAAGGCCGTATTTTTGTTTAAATAGTGATGCCATTTACTGAGATGGGAAAAACTAGAGGAGATACAAGTGTTTGGTTTTGTACCCATTAAGTTAAGGGTGCCCATGAGAAATTCAAGTGAAGACGTCAAGGAGCCAGTTTGAATGTTAATACTCCCCTGGAGCCCCAGGGAGAATAGGCTAGAGATAAATATGGGAGGTAGTAGCATACAGACAGTGGTTGCAGCCAAGCAACTGGATAAGAGCTTGGTATTAATTTATTGCCCCTCAGCTCCAAAATCCACACCTCTTTTTCAACTTATATGTGATACTGGAGCTGGACACTATAGACATTTTTCCTTTGCCAGCGACTTGATTTTGGCCAGTAGAAGGTGTCGTAGGGCCCCTGTAAGGCCAAAGCAGAAGGAAGGGGCTTTTCTGGGGTGCTGAAGCCAGTGGACCAATGATGGGTCAGGGTGGGGTTGGGGTAGGAGTGGGGGAGTCCCTCTGCCACCTCAGCAGGTCAGCCCTGTGGCAAGTTTCTTTTCACTAGCAGGTTGTATGTTCCTGTGGCTCCCATGCCCTCTCCAAGGAGATCTGAATCTCAGCCTGGGGGGAGAGGTGAGGGCCCATCTTCTAAGTTCATTCCTTGTTCGCTGTCCACTAGCCCTGTGAGTGGTAGCTGCCTTCTGCAGCTGCTACTTCTATACCCCTTAGAATTATTTTGCCCCTTTTAGTAGTTAACCAGATTTTAGTAGTTTACACTTCATATTAAATTTTCCCTGTTCAAATTACTGGGGTAGTTTCTGTCTCTTGACTGATATAGAATTGGTACCGACATGGTCACAGGACACAGACCGTTAAAGACAGGATTTGGAGCTGGTTTAGTCACAGTGCCCAGTCCTTGCCAATGGGAAATGGGCTGCTGGTAATGCACGGTATGCACTGGCATAACAACTCATCAAGTTATTGCCTGCGGTAGGTTATGATGAGGTATGCACTGAGTAAGTGCCCTGGGAGTCCAAGAGGCTGCTGTCCATGACCATTACAGAAATAATGATGACTACAAAGACTGTGTGCATGGAGCATTGACAGAAAAAGTAGTAAGCTCGTCCTTAAACACTCGGCACGAGTCCTTGTCTGAGAAGGGAGAGCTTCCATGGCAAACCTAAAAGAATCTTACAGGGCTGATATTGCTGAAAATAAAACACAAAATTTAACTGTGTCGGTTTCAAATTTACAATGTCAATTGAATTCACAATCTCACCAAGTTTCTTATATGAAAGTTAGGGAGCTTTGTGGGCCATATGGTCTCTGTCACAACTACCCAACTCTGCTACTATAGTACAAAAGCAGACCTAGACAGTACATAAGTGAACAGGCATGGCTGTACTCCAATAAAACTTTATTTACAAAATCAGGTGGTGGGCTGGATTTGATCCATGGGCTAACACCTGACTTACAGGAAGGAATCCAAAAGCTTAGGGAGGTAAGAATGTTAAAGTAGATTTTTAATATACAACCTGCATACTCACCCACCACCTACATCCCCTCAAAATGTCTAGAAAGCAGTCCCTTCACAAAGACACTGAGAAATACATTAAGGGCAGCGTCTGTATCCTTGAAAAGCTCTGTGACTGTCATCCTACGTAGGTCAGGAGTGGGAGGTATTGCCATTAACATGGGCTCCCTGATGCAACAGGAATAATCCTGGAGAAGCAGAGGCCAAGAAGTATCACTTAGCTACCAAGGATGAGAGAGATTCTTTTTATCAAAAGGGGCAGCAGGGCTGTAGTGACAATCAGAACGTTTTGGCATGTGGGGATTTCTGTTGGTGGCTAATTAATTGTGGCATCTCCAGGAATAACAGATGAGTAGGCTACTAGATTAGTGTTTGATCTGTATAACAGAAAAATCTCCACACTAGGTGGCTAAAAAACACCTGACTTAAATCACAACAGTGGAGAGTCACAGATTCTCAACCAATTTTTAAACCTAAGCCAAGTTAAATACTCAGAGCCCTCTGATTAAAGTAAAGACAAGGTTACATTGAGCAAGGACCTGTAGCATTGCCACTACTATATAATGTAAAATTTCCTCCAAGGATTCGTGACCACTTACTAGAATGACTGAGAAAAGGAAATACCCAAACTTTCAGGAATTACTAAATATGGCTCTGAATTGACACTAATTCTGGAGAACACTAAATGCTGCTGTTATACATCAGTAAAGTGGGTCCTTATGGTGACTATGTGGTAGATGAAGTTTTACCCCAAGTTTGAATCACAAAAGACTCAGGTGGTCTGTGGACCCTACCCAATTCCTGAATTTGAATAGATATTATTGGCAATTGGTAGAATCCTCTATGCTGGCTCTGTGATCCATGGGGTAAGGGTTATTATGACAGGAAGAACTATGTGAAAATCCTGGAAATTCCTCTCTACCAAGACAATAAACCAGAAGCAAAACTGCAAGTCTGAGAATTGCAAAAATGAGTAACAATACCAACAACTTACACAAGCGTGAGAATACATATCACATCATCATTACAACTTGTCTGTTTGGTCTGTGCTGAAATCAGATGGATTTTAGATAATAACTATGGATAATAAATTTAACCAGGTAGTGACGCTAATTGAAGCTACTCTTCCAGATATTTACTAGAACAAATTAACACAGCCCCTAGCATTTTGCATGCAGCCATTGCCCTGGTTAATGCTTTCTTCTTCATACCAACTTGTAAGGACCACCAGAAGCAGTTTGCTTTTACCTGGCTTGTATCTGTGTACACCTTCAAAGCCTTGCCTCAGGGCTATTCAACTCTCCTGTTCTTTGCCATAATATAGTCCACAGAGATCCTGATCGTCTTGACATTCCACAAAACATCTCAATGGTCCACTACATTGATGACATTATGTTGAATGGATCTGGGGAGCAGGAAGCAACAAGTACTTTAGATGCCTTAGTAAGACATAACTGACTCAAGAGAGTGGCAGATAATCCCCACAAAAATTCAGGGACCTGCCACCTCAGTGATGTTTCTGGGGATCCAATGATCTGGAGTATGTCAAGTCATTCCCTCCAAGGTGAAGACACAAACAAAATGAGGAAAATGCTTGGTATCCCTTTTTGGAAGCAACACATACCACATCTGTATAAGCTGCTTCTACCCATCTATCTAGCCAGGCTTCCGGCTTCCAGTGAGGACCAAAACAAGAGAAGGCAAGCTGATCTTCTACTTGGGTCTTATGATTCAGCAGATCCACGGACACTCAAAGTGTCTGTGGTAAACAGGGATGCTGTATGGAGTCTCTGGAAAGCTATCAAAGGAGAATCATACTGCAGAGCTCTGGTATTTGGGAGAAAATCCATGCCTTCCTTTACAGATAATGATTTTCCTTTTGAGAAGCAGCTTCCGGTTTGCTACTAGGTCTTGTTAGAGAGTAAATGCCTAACTATGGGATATCAAATGACTATGTGTCCTGAGCTTCCTATCATGAACTGAAAGTTACATGATCAAGCTAACCACAGGCTGAGTGTGCACAACACCAATCTATCGAGCGGAAACGGCATATAAAAGACCAGGCTTGGCAGATCTGGAAGTTACAGGTAATTTGCATGAACAGGTGGCTCAGAATCCTACAACAATTCCCTTTGCAATGCCTCTTCTCTCAAGCTATACCTATGACCTCACGGGTGTTCCTTATGATAAGCTGACTGAGAAAAGAAAAAGTCTGAGTCAGATTTACAGACTTTTCTCTATAACATGTTGGCACCTACCCATCTGAAAGCATTACAGCGCCACTCAGTGGTGACCCTGAAGGAAAGCAGTAAAACTTCTCAGTGGACAGCACTTCAAATAGTACATTTGGTTTTCCATTTTTGTAGTGAGAAATGACCAGATGGACAGATTTAGATGCATTAGCAATTATTAACTATTTGGATGAACAGTTAAGGAATACAAGAAACAGGATTGAAAGATTAGAGACAAGGAAATCTGGAAAACCGATGTGTGGAAGGAACTCTCAGAAAGGGCATAGGCTGTGAA